CCTTGCCATCGTGGGAAGAACTTTGGGGGTGAATGAACTGGGAGGGGCGGCACTAGCTCTTGGACTTATCAATGCGACAGCGTTTGCATTTGCCGCCGGTTCCTGTGGGGCGCTTGAAACCGTCCTATCTCACACGTACGGCATGCATAAGTCTAGTGGAGAGTCAGACACAATGTACATGTACGGCACTTATGCTCAGCGCATGACAATTATTTTACTTGTTGTCAGCATTCCTCTTGGGGTAGTTTTAATATACGCGGACATGTTTTTGGAGTATATTGGGCAAACTAAAGAAGTTGTTTATTACACTGGGCGATTTTGTCACATTGCAGCTTTTGGTATTCCAAGTACACAACTTTTTCAACTACTCACCCGTTATTATGCCTGCCAACACGAGACTAAGCCTCTTTCATTTGTAATGGTGGCAGCATCATTTTTTAATCCCATTTCACAAATAGTATTGATTCATTTTTTTGGATTTGAAGGTTCGCCTGTGGCTTGGTTATTTTTATATACTTTTATTGATCTGTCTTTAGTAGGGTACGCATATTACACCGGCCTATATAAGAAAACATGGGGAGGTTGGAATGTAAATGCATTTAAAAACCTTAAAGGCCTTTTAAAATTGGCCATTCCCTCAATGGCAATGATGTTGAGTGAGTGGGTTCTGCTGGAGGTAATTAGCATTTGCGCGGGGTTTGCCGAACCGCACGAATTGGCCGCATTTTACATTACGATGCAGGTGTTTGGCCTCTGTTGGAGTATCCCTTCCGGGACGATGATAATTGTCTGCGTACTTATTGGTAACGCCATTGGTGAAGGTAAGCCTTTGCTTGGAAAGCGCATAGCAAACGTGGCACTTGTAATGGTGGTCATTACGGCGTTATTGGATATTACCATATGTTGGCTGTTAGAAGACCGTATCCCTTATCTTTTCACGTCTGAGGAAGCGGTGGTTGTGGTGTATCGCCGTCTGTTGCTTTTTGTTCTTCCATATCATCTTTTTGATACATTTCAAAGTACAGTTATGGGAATTTTGCGTGGGTGTGGATTACAAAAACTTGGCGCCCTTATTATTGGTTGCGCCCTCTGCCTTGTTGGTGTGCCTGTTGCGTTTTATCTATTTTTCCACGTTAAGTATGGCGTTGAGTCCCTTTGGATTGGACCCTTCCTTGGTGTGACGGCGGTGGGATTTCCGTCCTACATCTATATCCTCTACTGGCACATTGATTGGTCAAAATTGAAGCCACATCACGACGAGCGTATCGTGGTTTTGGAGGAGGAGGAGGAGGAGGGGAAGGGAGGATCCGAGGAGGCAAGGGAAGTGACGGTGGAGGCCAGGGAAGGTGCTGCCTCGTGTTCATGACGGTGCAACGAGAAAAAAAAAAAAAAGGTGTGATGTATAGAAGGGTGGACCGAGGGAAAGAAAAAAGAAATATTTAATGAAATTTGTCTCACGAACTCATGTTTTTTGGATAGTTTATTTATTATTATTATTATCTTATTTTATTTTTTTTTTTTTTTTTTTGGTATTTTTCATTGTTTTTGCAATGGTCTTGGGTTCGATCTTTTGTCTTGAAGGGAGTCTCTGTTAGGCGCAAGGTTGCTTTAGCAGTCGTTGGGTCGTCTAACGTGTTATTTCTATATTTTATTCCACTTTTATTTCTTTTTGCGTGAAAGAGGGGAATCATGGGAGAGACGTATGTAAGGCTGCCAAACGGCCAGTTGTCGACGGACTGCGGGCATTCTTCAGTGCCCACGCAGAGGCAACTGCTTGGGGATTTAATGCGCATAGGTCTTCCTTTGTCAGCCTCTCAGGTTTCGCAGTTTAGTTTTATAATCGTTATGTTTTTCTTTGCGGGCCATCTTGGTGTACAAGAGCTCGGGAGTGTTTCCATCGCTATTGGCATTCTCAATGCGACGGGATTTGCGTTTGGTAGTGGACTTTGTGGAGCGCTGGAGACACTTTTGTCGCACTCCTACGGACTGGACCGGCGAAGCACAATGTATGGGGTTTACGCCCAGAGGATGTTTCTTATACTTATGCTCTTCAGTGTTCCTCTAGCCATTTTACTCGGCTGTTTGACACCAATCTTGATAGCAATTGGTGAGCCGACCTATGTGGCAGAGGAGGTGGGCTCATTTTGCCTGATGTGTGTCCTGGGATTGCCGGCGATTATGCTCTTGGAGCTTCTTCGACGCTATTATGCGAGTCAACATCGTTCGAATCCCGTTTTTCTGACCCTGTCTATGGCCGCAATTTTGAATCCCCTCGTACAGTACATTTGTGTGTTTTTTGGAGGTTATAAAGGAATTGCGCTGGGATGGGTAATTCTTCTTCTTCTTATGGACATCACCCTCGTTATCTACCTCCGGGTGAGTGGTCTGTATCGGCACACATGGGGTGGCTGGAGTATGGCGGCGTTTCAAAACTGGATTCCAATGTTAAAGCTGGCTATTCCCTCCCTTGGCATGGCCTTTAGTGAGTGGAGTGCAATGGAAGTAAATTCTGTCTGTGCGGGTTTTATGAGTTCGGTGCAGTTGGGTGCATATGCCATTAGTAGCCAATTATCGAATCTCTGCTGGAGTGTCGTATCTGGATTTTTTATGGCCAGCACCGTCTTGGTAGGAAATTGTGTTGGTGAGGGAAAACCGCAGTTAGGAAGGCGATACGCCATGCTTTCATTTATTGTTGTATTTGCTTTGTCTTTTGTAAACATATCTCTTTTGTATGTGTACCAAGAGCAAATTGCCTATATATTTACCGAGGACCCAGAGGTTGTGTCAATTTTTATGAGCATCACTCCGTTTTTTTTAGTTTATCATTTGTTGGATTCAATTCAATCCAATTTCCTGGGCATCCTGCGTGGATGTGGGCTTCAGGTAATTGGCGTTTTTATTGTTTTTGTGGGATTGACGCTTGTGGGAACGCCACTGGGTCTATTTCTTCTTTTCCGTTGCGGTTATGACGTCAAGGCTCTGTGGATTGGCCCAATTGTGGGCTGTACGCTGTTGGCGATCCCAGCGTATTTGTTTGTGTTTTTTCGTCGCGTTGAGTGGGAAAAGCTTAAGCCACATATAGAAGAGCAGTTTGAAGGCTCTTTGATGTGAACCTGCTTATAAACTAAAGTCGGTAATAAATATGTATGATTCTCTGTTTGTCCCCTTTACCACAGTCAAGAGGAGGGCAGAAACATGATATATATTTGGAATTTACCATTGGAGGTGAACGGCCTCAAAGGGTCGTGTGCACTGCCAAAAAAAGGAGGAAAAAAAGATCTGTCGATGCGGGAGGTCCTCTGATGGATATTTTCACTCCCAACGGCCACTTGCGTCGTCCGCCGCTTTGGGCTTTTATTTATCTCCTCACCCTCACACCTTCTGTTTTTTGTTTGTTTGTCATCTCCCTCTCTCTCTCTCTCTCTCTGTGTGTGTGCGTTTGTGATTGTGCCGTGATGTTTTGACATTCATTTGTTTTTGTTTTTGTTTTTGAAACAAACAAACATCAAGCATTCAGAAAAGGAAGTGAAGGGATGTGTAGTCCCGACTCAACATTGGAATTGCGTTTGCCACGTGATTTGTTTCTTTTCCCGAAGCAGAATGCGGGGTTTCAAATCCCCTTCTTTCTGTCTACGGAGGAGGAGGTCGCCAAGGTGCGACCGCCGGCAGTGGTGAAGACGCTCGAGGAACGTCTGCAGGAGTTTTCAGAGGGGCAGCGGAAAATACTAAGCTCCTTCAAGAAAGCCGTCCGGGATGCCCCATGGTACAGCGAGGCTGAGGACGACGATTGGTTGCTTCTCCGCTACCTTATCGCCCGCAATTTTGACGTGAAGAAATCCTTTTCCATGCTGGAAAAATCTGTTCATTGGCGACGAAAAAAAGACGTTGACAACTGGGTATGTGAGGCCTGTTTAAAAGATCCGAATGGGCACATGATGCAGTTTGTTGGGTGGGACCTCCAAAACCGTCCTGTTTGTTTTATGGCAATGCGGTGGGGACCGGATCGGAAGGAGCCACTGAAGCACTGTGTGGCCACATTCAACCACTTGGTGAAGCTCATGCCTCTCGGGGTGGAACAGTGGGTGTGTGTCACGGATTTTGAAACGTACTCACACATCAGAGACAGCAGCCCAAAAATGGGTTTGTCCGTGATTCACGCCATCCAGGATCACTTCCCCGAGCGTCTGGGGTTGATGATCCTCGTGGATGCCCCCAAGGCGTTCAGCGTACTGTGGAAATTGCTCTCCGCCGTAATTGAAGAAAAAACGAGGAAAAAGGTGCTTTTTACTTACAAAAAATCAAAGCCAACAATAGAAAGCGAGTTTTCCAAAATATTTCCTCCAGCGCTTGCGGAATACTTGTGTGAAAGCTACGAACGGAGCAGAACAGCCGCTCTTCCGGCAACCCCTGTTTGGTACCCTGCACAGAGCAATGAGTGAGTATTGGCGTGTGTCTGCGTGTGGTAATTGCAGTGAGTTTGTATAGGCCAATTTCTAACTACACGGTGAATGCTTAAAAACACTGGAATGAGAAGGGGATGGATTTAAAGGAGGAAGGATTTGGTGTTCACTTCATTGAATCCAACTAGTAATAGGAAGAGGGAGTACGGGTTGGAACGAGCGTTTGCTTTTATACTTTTGCTTCCTTTTATTGTTGTTTCTGTTGTAGTGTTATTTCTCCACTTATCACCGGAGGTTTGCTTGAAGTATTCCTCAATATTTCCCTTTGCATGATGGTACCGTAATGTTTTTATTTTTATTTTTGTAACTCGCTCTTTTTTCTTTTTTTTTTTTTTCTTACCGCATGACTTGCGCGTCTGTGGATGTGTATTGGGGCCTGAGTTGCCTTTTTCTGTTTTGTTTTGGAGCCATGCTTAACGTACAGGATTGTGGTGTTATCTGTTTTTCTCTCTTTTTTTTTTTTTTTTTTTTTTTTTGCTCTTGGCTCGTCGGCTCCTTGTTGAAACGCAAAAAAGGGGATTTGGTTTTGGCGGGGGCGTTATGTTGACTTCATCCCATGCTAGCGAGGAGGACCATTTCCGCCAACGACTCGACTCCATCAACAAGGAGATGCAGGCGATCATTGAGCGCACAGCAATTGAGCGTGACAAACTCTACCGCAATAGCGCCATGGGATCCCTGGCGTGGGACATGACAGATGCCACACCGAAGGAAGCAACAGAGCCTGCGTCTCTTTTCCATGCGCCTGCATTCAACACGACGGCCACCATTCCTGCCCCGTCACGCAGAATCTTGGATGAATCGGATGTAAGGCGTATAGTTGCGGATGAGATGAAAGCGTGGAAAGCGGCCTTTGAACAGAGAATGACCGATTCCATAAAAGGGGTGAACACGACGATGAGTCAACGCCTGGCGGAGATGAATAACTCCCACCTGGAACTTGCGGAATCGCTAAAAGAAACCACGGAGGTATCAAGACGGGGTTTAGGAGAGATGCAGAATGCATTGGATCGAATTCAGCGTGGTGCGAAACTTCCTATAGAGAATCTTTCTAGAGAAATGGAAGAGCATGTCAAAGGCATTACATCAGAGCAGAATCATCTTCGTGACGCTGTTTTTGCCCTGCAAAACGAAGCAAGAATAGAGCAGCAGCGTGGAGACCGTCGTGTCGATGAGCTCGTTCGTCGTCACCATGATTTGGTGCGAAATTCTTTGTTAGAGTTAGATTCTCACGTTGTTGGTCTTCGAGACGAATTAGAGCAAATGGTGCGAGCACAGGCTCGAAAAACGTCTGAGGAATGTGATTTGATTCACCAGCACGTTGCACGCCTTCGTGGTGCGCTGGAGGCGACGAACGACACCACCACACAGTGGGTCACGGAACTTAGGGGCCTGATGGAGGAAAACATTTCCTCCCGCAGCGAAATGCGTTTGTGTCGCCGTGACATTAACCGTCTGGAGATGCTTCTGCAGTGTGTTTCGGCTGGGGACCGAGACGCCGGCGCTATTTCGGGAGCACGGGACGGCCTGCTCCGCGGCCAGTCAGACAGGGCCACTGGCGGTGTGGAGATTTCTTGTGAGGAGTTTCTGGCACTTAAGGAGCGGGTAAATTTCCTTCAGCAACGAATAGAGAAAATGGACCGGCAGATGACTGTCATGGATGGGGCACTCCACCGTCTTTTTGCTGCCGGTGGAGGCGGCGGTCCTCAGAGCCGGGATCCGGTGTTTGGCTTTCAGGCGTCACATCCGGAGACGATAGGTGGCAGACTGAATTATGCGGACCCGCTGGATGCGAGATATGTTTCCATGGGAACAAATCCCCACCCATCACAGAGCATGTCGCCGGTGAGCATGCGAGAGCACCAGCAGCAACAGTTTTTGATGCAAAGAAATCAGCAATACCGTGAACAGCAAAAACAAATGATGGCGGCGCACAGTCCACATGATGCGACTCCAACGATGGGAACGAACGACAATTCGCCCATGGGGGTCAGGGAGCCAAAACCAAGGTTGTTGGCTCAGTCACCATCCTCTGCCCTGTCACGGAGGGCTCAATGGACGAATGATGACCCAATTCAACAACAGCAGCCAATGGGAGTTCAGCAGTTTCCTCGCTACTCTCATGCGTTGTCCTCCCCGGGGGTAGTACGGCGTGCCATGGAAAATATAGAGGACCCTCCAGCGCAGTCTTCGGATCGCCTTCCGGTTACACAGCAGGCAAAACGTCCAGACGCTCCTGACAGTTCAAAGGTGACCGAAATTTATGGAGAGCAGGGAATATCCATGCATTTTACCCGTGGATCAGGAGATTTTTCCCAAACCCCTACTCCGTCGGATTCATACGTCTCAGACGACAATGAAGAAGCAAAGAAGGATGAGCAATCCATGCAATACGTCCCTGCACCCTCCAGTGATATCGAGAGTGAAATTGACAACAATAAAATGGCTCGTTTGGCACTAGACTGAAGCCGATTTTGCGGTTAGCCCGAGTGAAGGGTGCGAAAATTACTCGGGTTTGGATTTTATGATGAGTGGACGCATGAATTTGAGATGGAACGTGATTTATTTTGCCTCTTTTTGTTTTCCATATGCTTATTTTAGATGTTAGATTGCTTCTGTGAATTTTTGTGTCTATTGGGTTCTTTTATTTCGTTGATGTTGTTGTTGTTGTTGTAGCTATTTTTATTTGTTTGTGGGCGTTTCTCCCGACAGAAAAAAAGATAGCCATGATATATTTATATTTGCTGTTGTTGTCATTGGTTTTGTTGTTTTTCCTTATTGGTTGTCATTTTTTTTTTTTTTCTTTTTTTTTTTTTTTTTTGCATTGTTACTTTTCTTTCCAGGCATATATACTTTTGTAGGGAAAAAGAGGGAAAAAAAGGCGCCTTGGCAAAGATGTCCTCCAACGTCGTTAGTGCTCCGGGTGCCGGGAAAGAGAAGAGTGCCAGCGCGTTTGTTCGTGAGACGCGTAGCGTCAAGGTTCCCCACCACCGCTTTCCTCCCCTAAAGAAGGTGTGGTTAGAGGTCTACACCCCCATTGTCGAGCAGTGCAAACTGGAAATCCGCATGAATTTAAAATCTCGGTGCGTTGAGCTGCGGACTTGCCCAGCCACCATGGAGGCTGCAGGACACGGTGGAGACAGCAGCAAAGTTCTCCTTCAAAAGGCAGAAGATTTTGTCAAGGCAGTCGTTGCAGGATTTGAAGTGAAGGATGCCATTGCCTTGTTGCGTATGGACGATGTGTACATTGAGGGCTTTGAAGTGAAGGATGTGCGAGCCAACTTGCATGGCGATAACCTCTCCCGTTGCATTGGGCGGATGAGCGGATCCCATGGAAAAACGAAGTATACCATTGAAAATGTGACACGGACGCGGATCGTCATTGCCGACACGCACATTTGGTTGATGGGAACAACGCAGAACATTCGGGTGGCAAGGGATGCCCTTTGCGATTTGATCCGTGGTAGCCCAGCCGCAAAGGTGTACACCCGCTTGCGCGCCGTAATGAATCGCGTGAATGACACGTTTTGATGCTTTATGAGACAAAAAAAGGAAGGAAGGAAGGAAGGAAGCATCCTGGAGGAGAAAAGGAAAGAAATGAAGGAGAATGAAGAAACATCACGCCCAGATTTTTACGCTCTTTTTTTTTTTCTTTTTTTCCTTTTTGTTTGTTTTCCTCAACATATATATTTGCATTTATTTATAAATACATATGTGGCGGTCAGGGCAGACAGTGCCTGCGTATTGTTAAGGAGATTATTGGCACAGATGCCGTGCTGCGTCTAATCGAATAACAAGGTCAAGAACACATGGGAGCCCCTTGCCTAAGTTGTTCATTAAAGTAATTGTGACATTTATGGGGGTGCGTACACACACCCTCTCTTTGTCGGTTCTCATATCTTCCTTTTTTTTTTTTTTTTTCTTTTTTGCATTTCTGGGAATATTAACTTTTTATCTCATTTACTTTTTTTTTTTTTTTTTTGACCGTCGGCTTACGCTTAACAGCCAATAGAAATTTTTATGGCGTTTTCACGATGGCCTATGGCAAACCGGCCATGCCAACCGCATCTGCCCTCATGTCATTGCGCGAAAGACAACGCAGACGTGTGGCGACCATTTGTCAAGAACGACCGCCCCCTATCATCTCGTTACGACTGTGATCTCCCGTAGGCGCCACTGTTCCTTGTGCATTTCCCTTCAGACAATGCACACTCCCAGTGAGACGTGAGGAAGAGGAGGAGGAAAAAAAGCAACAGAAAAGGGATGGCCCTTTGAAATGAATTGCAGCGCCGTCATGTCTCTCGATGGCAGGATAACGCGCTCAGTGCGGGCGAACAGCCGAGCAGCACTTTTTTACTTTTTTTGCGTGTTTTTCTATCTGTGTGTGTGTGTGTATTGTTGCCTTCATGCTGCGAGGCCTCTCAAAGAGGTCAAGGGGAGGGCGTATTTATTTATTTATTTATTTTTTGTTTCGTGCTGTCTCGTCCTTTCTAGGAAAAAAAAAAAAGGAAGGAAAAGGGAATATTAACTAAATTGCGTGTCGTTCCGTGTCGGATGCTCTCGCATATTGACCGCGTGGAGTTGTACAACTTCAAGAGTTACGCCGGCAATGTGACAATCGGGCCCTTGAAGGACTTCACGTGCATCGTCGGGCCTAATGGGGCCGGCAAATCAAACCTTATGGATGCGCTGTGCTTCGTGTTGAGTCCCAGTGCCACGACAACGCTGCGCGGGAAGGACGCAACGGACCTCATCCACCGCGGCGCGCAGCGAAAGGAGTGTGCTGTCACCGCCGTTTTCTGCCACACCACACCGATATCGCCAGCAGCAGCAGCAGCAGCAGCAACAGCAACGACAACAGCTGCGGGGCAAGGTCGGGACACTGAGATCTCCTTCACACGAGCGGTGGACCAACGAGGGAAGATTACGCATAAGATTAACGGCGAGCCCGTGGACGACCGGAAGTATTTGGCGGCAATGTCGAAGTTTAATGTGGGGACTCGGGTGAATAACTTTTTGGTGTTTCAACACGAGGTGGAGGCGATCGCTCAGAAAAAGGCACGGGAGCTCACGGATCTGCTGGAACAAGTCAGTGGGAGTGCAGAACTGAGGGAGGAGTACAATCGCTGCAAGAAGGCTCATGAATTGGCAAACCAGGAGTTGACAACGGCCTCTGCTGAAAAACGTGATGCGGTGGTGGCTCTTAACCAAATGCGGCTTCACAAGAAGGAGGCGGAAAAGTACGAAGAAGTTCTTAGGCGCATTGGTGAGGAGCGGCGTGATGAGGCGTTGGTGCAGCTGTTTTACGTGGAATCTAACCTGGAGCGGCAGAAACAGGAGCTTCATACCTTCACTGAAAAACTCACAGCCCTTGAGAAGAGTATCGCCTCGGATGAAGACATACGCAAAATGAAGCGTGAGTATGCCGAAAAGCACAAGACGTACTTGGAGGAACTTAAAAAGATCCGCAAAGAGGCGGATACGCTGCGGGAGAAACACAACACACTGGAACGCATTAAGGTCTCGCTGAACCATTTGAAACGCCAACATGAAGTGAAACGGCACGGATTGGACAACTTGATGAAGACAGAGAACGTTCAGTCACGTGAGGTTCAACGCATTGAGGAACAGTTGCAGCAGCAGAAGGCAATTCTAATGGCATTTGATGAGCGGTGCAAGAAGGAAGACGAGGAACACACGACACTAAGCGGGTCGCTAACTGCGGAGCAGCTGTCAGAGTATCGTCAGCTTCGCAAAGAGGCGGAGTGCGAAACCGTGGTGCTAAGACAACAAATGGAGAGAATCAGGCGGCAACAGCATTCATTGGTCGAGGGTCAGAAACAATGCACAATAGCCATTGAGAATGTCAGGTCTCAAAAACAGGAACTTCAACAAGGAGTGCAACGAAGCAACGAGCGTGTGGCTGAGCTAAAAAACCGCATGAACGATCTTCAGGACACAGTTCAGGAGCTTACAAGCAACATAAGCCAAAAACGGGCGGACCTTTCCCAGAAAGAGAAAAGGAATAGAGAACGGGAGGTGGAGCTGGCGAGGATTCAGGAGCAGCTGCATGAACTTCGTTTTATTAAGGAAAATGACAAACATGGGTCGAGAATGGCCGGAGCATTGCAGGCGTTACGTGCTCTTTATGGCGTTCGTGGACGCCTCGTGGATCTTTGCACTATTCCCAATGATAAATATCGACATGCGGTGACAGTGGCGTTGGGCAAGAACCTTGAAGCGGTTGTTGTGGATACCACGGAAACGGCCATTTCCTGTGTGCGTTACCTAAAGGAGCAGCGCCTGCCACCCATGACATTTCTTCCTCTGGATTCGGTGAAGGGTAAGGAGGTGAATGACCGCCTGAGGACGTTTGGTGGGACCTGTAAGCCTGTAGTGGATGTGATTCGTTATGACACGGCAATTGAGACAGCAGTGCAGTATGCATTGGGACAGACACTTGTGTGCAATGGAATGGCGGAGGCGAAACATGTTGCATACGGCAGCGAGGATGGGGAGCGCTTTAAGGTGGTGACTGTGGACGGTTCTGTTCTTATGCGGAATGGTGCGGTTCAGGGAGGTCTTGCGTCGATCCAGTCCCGTGCACGGAAGTGGGACGAGAAAAAGTATGAGGATCTGCGTGCGGCACGGGATCGGTTGCTTAATGATGCGGCCGGGGGATCTGAGGCAGAAATGGCACGGACGCAATGCGAACTCCGGGACATGGAGGCACGATTGGAGTTTACACATGGTCGCATCAAAGTGATTGCGGCAGAGTTGCAGGCAACAGAGCAAAAGGTTTCCAACATGAATCGAGAGATGAAAAATCAGGAAAATGAGGAGCGTACGATTGAAAAACGTCACTCCACTTATGAATCCGAGCTTAGACGATGTCTGCATGAATTGCAAGAGAAGCACGGGTCTATCATGCAGGTGGAAGAACGCATCTTTTCTGAATTTCAGCGACGGGTAAACATTCCAAATATATTGGAGCTTGAGAGTCATGAGGCCCAAATATTGAGGGAAAGGGCAGAAAAACGGCAGCAGATGCAGCTGCTGGTTCACAAGCTGGAAATTTCCCTGGAGGCAGAGCATAAGCGAATCGGCATGCAATCCATCGAGGATCTCCGAGGGGCTTGTGTGCGTCTTGAAGAAGAAATTCAGCAATGCGAACGGGACCTGGCGGCATACAGCGAAATTGTAAAGACCGCAGAAAAGAAGCAGAGTCAGTCAAGAGATAGCGTCAGTGAGGCAAAAGTGCAGCTCGACTTGCTAGAGGCCGATATTCGTCAACAAAGTCGTACCTCCGAGCAAGAACTTGGCAAGTTGGCACAGGCGCGAAGAGGGGTTACGGCTCTTCAAGCCGCTTGCGATACACTTCGCCTGCAGCGCATGAACATTTTGCGGCGATGTCAGATGGAAGAAATTGTGTTGCCGCTCAAACCCGTTGAGGCCCGCGGTGTCAAACGGTCACGGGCGGCAGAGAGCGGCGCTTTGACTCAGAGTGAGCCATTTGTCTTGCCGGAGGACGCTCCAGCTGCTGCACCAACCAAACAATCTCAACCCTCTCAACCTCATCGGTCCGTGGCGACAAGGGAGGCACAGGTCGTGGTGGACTTCTCAGACCTTCCAGAGCCTCTAAAGGAGGCGGCATCTGACAGGACACACCTTGCGGCTTACAAGCAACGCACAGAAACCCTACTGGAAAACTTACAGCGCGCTGCCGAGTCTCTTGCTCCCAATCTGAAGGCGGCATCGCGGTTTGCTGGATCAGAGGATAGGTTGGGCTCTTCCTCCGCTCATCTTGAGGAAGCACGTGAAAAGGTCAACAAGGCGTACTCGGAGTTTTCGAAGGTCAAGGAGCTCCGCACACAGCGTTTCATGGAAACGTTTGAAAAAATTGCGGAAAATGTGGACCGTGTATACCGCGAGCTCACCCTGAGTACTCGCGCGCACGCTGTGCACGGTTCCGCGTACTTGAGTCTGGAGAATGTGGAGGAGCCGTACCTGGCGGGGACGAGGTACCACGCGACACCACCACTAAAGCGATACATGCCAATGGAGCTCCTTTCCGGTGGGGAACGCTCCATGGCAGCTCTCGCACTCTTGTTTGCCGTTCATGCAGTTTCACCAACACCATTTTTTGTTTTGGATGAAGTTGATGCCGCTTTGGATGCTGGAAATGTCGAGAAGTTGGCCAACTACATGCGGAAGAATTGCAACACGACACAGTTTATCGTCATCTCGCTGAAGGACCAGCTCTATCACGTTGCAGATTTGCTTGTTGGGGTGCTGAAGAACAAACAGAAGGAAACTTCTTCCATCCTGACAATGGACCTTCGCGGATACCCCTTTTGACGCCTCCTTAAATATATATATATATGTCTTGTCTTTTTTTTAATTATTTTCCCCCCACCCCCCTAAAAAGAACCTCTAAAGGAAGCAAAATTGAGAAAGAAAGAAAAGGCGTCGACCTCTTGTGTCTTCACAAATGGTGATTTTATCAGCCACCAAGAGAGTGAACAGAAATACCATAGAGTCTTAAAATATGAAGTGCCTATATAGAGAGGAAGAGGAAGGTATGAAGAACAGAAATGGAGGGCAGTTGATAAATGTGCTTCCAGAAAGAGTTAAGTGGATATGCACACGCCTACCCATTTGTTTATTTTGAGACTATTTTATTTTATTATTTTTTTGATTTTGTTGGCTACAATTTGTCTTTTTCTTCTCTCTTTCCTTTTTTTTTTTTTTTTTTTTTTTTTTTTTCTGCTTGTGTTTTGTTTTCTTCACCGTCGTCACGTTATGCATTGCAATATGTTTGGTAGTTTGTTTTTTGTTTTTTTAGGAACATTCCCCTGTGATGTCTTGGGATGTATTGCCCTCAGTGCCCGTGCGACCCGTGGCTCTTCACCACGCGCTTACACACGATGGCTATTTCTTGGTTGATGAAAGTGGGTTGCAAGAGGACAAGGAGAGGACTGGCCGCAGTGGCGACCGCAACTCAACCTTACCGATTCCTGCAAGCCTAAGTGCGATAAGCGATATGTTGTTACCCGTCACGCTGGAAGAGTTTGAGTTGGCCGAAGAGGTGCTGAACGCATGTGAATCCGGGCATGCACCGTCTCTTTGAGGTGCTTATTTCATTCGGGCGCTTGGTTAGCGTTGTTGTTGTCATTCTTCTTATTATTATTCTATTATTTATTATTATTATTGCTGGTGGGTGCTGAACAGCAATGTTTTGATGGCCCACGTGTCTGTGTAGAACAGTGTTAATTTATTATTGTGGAAAATGCGCAAAAACACATGCATCGGCGTCAAATGAGTGTATTTTTTCCGTATTTCTTATTATTTATTTATTTATTTTTAATATTACTAAATGCTCGTAATTGCTTATGTCCGCTGCAGGGGAGACAAGGCGGATGAGGTCATGGACGCGAAGGAAGCCTTTGATGAGATTCGTGCGCATTTTGCCATGCGGTCACAGTTTTCAGAGGCGGGAAACAGGTTGAGTGCGATGGTCCGCCGTTTTCAAGAGTCGCTTCAAAGACAGGACGGATCAGACATCCAAGACTTGAAAGGGGCGAGACATGTTCAGCAGCGTCCTTCAACGTCGTCGATGCAAAAACTTCCTCCCCCGATTTTTCGTCCGGCTGCCGTGGAGGCTCTGCTGCACTACGCATCTCCCCTGCCAGTCCGAACAGAAGAGGGAAAAAATGTAAGGGGTGGTGCCTCTATTCTGTACAATGACAAGGAGAATGACATGAGAAGCAATCACATTGGGGATGATTATTTGAGCCATAAATGTGTGGCGCAGCCTTGTGCATCAGGTGAGGGGGCTTTTCAAGGTAAAAGGGACTCCTTCAGTTCCACGCCAGTGGCATTCCTTTCATCTGGAAGAAATCAGGACCAGCCAGTCGATGTTGGGGCGAAGTTTTCCCACAGCGATGGGTTCAGGAGTCGCTACACGCATGAGGCCAGTGCCGCGCGATCGTCGCAATGCACTTTGAGAAATGATCAGGACATGTTTTCATTTGTGAATGGCGACAGCGATGGCGGTACGCAGAAACCGAATGGGTGTTGCGAGGAGCGGGACGACGCTCTTCACTCGCTAGGGGAATTTGACGGGGAAACGATGGTTGATTGTGTGTGCCACGCCATGCAGAAGAATAAACGTCAGAAAGCAGCAAAGGAAGAAGAAAAGGAGAAAAGTGAAGAGGAAAACAAGAAAAACGACGAATTGAAGGCAAAAGATATGGAAGAGGCGCCAGCTGAAACAGCGAGGAAAACAACGCGGTCTATTCTTGCAGACCTTGACGAGTTGGAGAAAACTCACCACGACGCCGTTGCTGTGATGCTGATGAGAACCCCCTTGCGCTCTCGACCGCAAAAGGAGCAGAAATTAGTGACTTCTGACGGTGGACAACGCTTAGACCAGCATGGCGCTCCTCATTGGATTCAGCACCATTTGCTTCCCGAGCAGCGGGCAACCGCGGTTAACTTGGACTTGGATGTATTATCAGGGTCTCAAGCGCTGCGGTGCCGCCCGCCGAACGGGCCGATAGATGTCGCGGTCAGTAACAGGGGAACTCGTGTACCGTCAAATTTAGGTCAGGGGAATGTAAAAAATGTGCCCTACTTTGTGAAGGGGCCTTCCTCAGTTTTGAATTTTTCAAGCACAAGCAGCTCTGATGCGTATGATGCAAAGGACAAGTGGTTAAATGTGTCGTTCCTGTAGCTATTTTGAGGAAAAAGCAAGATTATATTTTGTGCATGAATGCATGCATGTATTTTTTTTTTGTTCTGTTTTGTTTTGTTTTGAAAGAAGATGGACGGTCACGCTGTCTTGTATTGTATGCATATGTGGCTGCGGTTTATTTTTTGTTTCTTTTGTTGTTTACCGAGGAATCAAGCGGGACAGAATTCCTTTAGGAGAACGCTGAGCAAGAAGCAAGGATGGGAACCAATGGCTCCAAGGACGAACGCTGGCAGAGAGATTCTGAGGCTCCATCATGCCATTCGTGTGCTGTCAATTTCTCCATTAGCACACGGCGTCATCACTGTCGTAATTGCGGCTATGTTTTTTGTGGAAACTGTTCAAATTTTAGCTGCAGTATTCCGATGCGTGGAATTCATGTGCCCGTACGGGTGTGTGCCGATTGCTTCCACGCATTACGCAGGGATTTTGATGGAGCTTTAGTCGGTGGAGGCTTTAGACAGTGTGGTGGGCCTGTGCCCCCCGTCACGAGTGACGGCAACGAGGCAGGAGCCCTGGAGCAGGAATCGCACCTGAACATGAACAAGGCGTTGAATGGGAACTTTGATTACGAAAGCAGCTACTTTATGGGGTCTGGTGGCGGTGGTGGTGTGACAAGCAACGCATACGGGAATTTGAGGGAGTTCGATGGATATTACGGCAACGATGCCAGATCCGCGGAGCACTTGATACATAACCATTTAGAGACTGATAAACGGGCTTCTCAATTAGAGAGGGAACTTCTTCTAAAACGTTGGGGAGAAGTGCGTCAGCGTGCTGTATTCACGGATATTTTGCTACAGCAGGTGGAAATAGTAGAGGAGAATACCGAGGTGGAGTATTTCAGGGAAATTGCTGACATCAAAGTGCAGCCGGAGCACCCTGATCTACTCGCCGCCATGTTTCCATTTCCAGAGGCCGCGGAGGGGAACGCGGATTTGTTGATGGAAGCCATTCACCTACGTATACCAGGTCCACCGGAAGGATACGAATTAGTCAAACATGCTCTGGAGAAACGTGCAGCTCGGTTGTTGTCACCACCTGCTGCGTAAAACAAAAATAGCAAATACATTTTGCTACAACAGTATTAATATTTTACATTTTTTCTTTTTCCCCATCCTGAATTTGTTGTTATTACCATACATATATATATATACATACTTCTTGTTGTAATTTTTTTTATTGGTCAGACTGCGGCTGGTGGTGTGGAAGGTGTTTGAAATGTTTCTAAGATTTGTCTGTGCAGGATTGTACGTGGATGCAGTAAAATCTACTCGTGGAATAAGAGGGAAACAAGTAAGAACATTTTTTGCGGGCGAATTTTTTTTTTTTTTGTGTGTGTGTGTGCGTATGTGTGCACCTTTTGTTTTTACGACTATTTTTCTTGTTTTTTTTTTTCTTCTTGTTGTTTTTGTTTTAGCAATCTTGGGCCATGATGCGCTGCTCGCGGGGGTGTCGGCGGCAGCTACGGCCGTACTACAATCTCCCCTCCAAATCGGATCACGGGCGAAAGATGACGGGCTTCCTTACGCCCTACCGCCATTGGATGTGGAAACAAAATGAGTTGTGGCGCAATGTCCACGAGGCGCAGTTTGAGCATCTAAGAAAAGTATACAAGCGCCAGTGGCTTGAGTCCTTCCGTGTCAATGCAGATGAGTACATATACAAGTACAACATCACAAAGGCAGCCCAACTTGCTCAGTGGGAGTACGAGATGCAGGCACAGGAAAAGAAGCGGCTGGAGGCGAAGCAAATGACGGAAGGACGTCAAGCCCTCAAGAAGAAACATTTGGACCTACTGCGCGAATTCCACGAGAGACAATTCTTCTTTTGGTACGAGCGCGCCAGTGAGCGGCTGCAGAGCATGAATCTCATTCAGTACATTCCACAGTCAAGGGTCCAGGAGCATATTGAGAGGGAGTTGGACAAGTACGTCGCTGGAAAGAGTGAGGCGTACCCGTTGAACTTTGTTGGACAAATGCCGTTGGTTGAGGATCGCGAGGGAAATATTGTGGAGGTTCCCGAGGGTCTCCTCACGAACCACGTCTCAGAGCACCCAGAGTCTACGGTCAAACCCCATCAACCTCACGAGAGCACTTCCGTCAGCGTGGAGGAGCAGTTGCTGCGCACCATGGCAAGTGCGAGGGAGGAAAGTCTAGAAGAATGGATTGATGACTCACGAGCGCTTTCTGAAACGATTGATGACATTTCCCGCGAAGAGGAGCAGCGGGATGAAGACACACGGGTGGCACGCAGCATGGAGGAAACAGACAACGAGCGTGAAATTAGTCGCCGCATGTATATTGACCGCGGTAAAACGGGCTCAAAGGCCATATTCCGTCGGCCGACTTTAAGCGAGACCGACGGCGGCTCCGCTTCTATCCCTGTTGGTGGTGTTGCCGCATCACCTGCGGACACGAGTGCGCCGATGAGGCGTCGCAAGAAAGGCAAGCTGGACAAGGCACATGCTCTGCAGGAGCAACAGGATGCAATGATTGCCAGAATGTCTGCGAAGAGCCTTAAGGATGGTGAAAGCTCAATCTCAATTGTCAAGCGTGGGGAGATTGCGACAAGCAGGGGTCGCATTCGTGACAAGGCTGCAATACCGACCCAGGAAGTATTGATGCAAAAACCTGAATTGGCAGCCGGGAGTGTACCAAACGCACGCATTAGCTTCAAGGACAAGGTAGACCAACTGTACCACCGCGGTAAGTACAAGCAGAAGAAGGAGGACGATAACAACCCAAATGAAGACCTTTAGCCGTCCAGTACTGAGCCACATTGAGGCTCAACCCGCTATGGCTTGTATGAATTGCTCTCAGGGATGGCTAATTATATATTTGTGGGCACGCATTCTTCATTTTCGTCTGGTATTTAAATATTTTTTGTCCTTTTTGGAGCCTACGTCAAGTTGCAATCGTTTAATTTGTGTGGCTTTTTTTTCCAGTTTATTTTTGCTCTCTTTTATTGGTTTTCTCTTACTTCTTTTCCATGTTTTGGTTTTTTTTTGTTCTATCAGAGATTGAAAACAAATTTCAAGGGGAGGGCAGTGGGCACTCCAGGTCCTTGGCGTTGTTTTTTTTTTTTTTTTTTTGAGAATTTTTCTGGAGGCGCGGCTGACTGTGTGGAATAAACCGTCAGTGGACATAGTTGGGAGCCCAACAAGAAGGGAATAGATCGTCGTTGTCTACTGCTTTCGGTGGTGAAAAAGGATGTCGTCACAGAGGCGAAGATACCGCTTAGAGATAGCCGTTAAGAGGCTTCATGGTCTTGTGAACATGAGTTCCTCGGCGAGGATTATTTTTGTTGTGCGTTTCTCAAGCTTTCCGGAGATTTTTATTCGGCCACATATCAGCGGTGGTGGCGGTGTCGTTGTGCGATCCTCCACGGGCGATGGCATTCTCTCGCTAACGTACAACGTGTGCCACAAGGCCGAATTTTGCCTGAATGACGATGAATGTAGAGAAATGTTTCCTGCTCAGTGCGTCTGCCGCATGTACGACGAGGGGCAGCGGCAGGCATCGGTGTCATGGGTATGCCCATGCCCGGTGTTGACGGCGCAAGCAGCTGAGGGCCGTCGTCACGGCAACTACGCCATGTGTGACAGTGCCGGTAAGACGATGGGTTTTGCGGAGATGTCCTGTCGTGTTGTTCTCATCGAAGAAAGGATGTTTTCTTCTTCGGTGAATCCAGGAGCCATCGCTGCTTCCGTCGTCTCTGGCCCGGTGCCACCGTCCACACCGACTGCCAAATTGACGGTCAACGGAAAGCCTTTTGTTATTCGCGTGGTTCTGGACGGCACCGACGTCAGGGAGGGGAATAAACGCCGTCACCGTAGGAAGCAGGACGGCCATCAAGATTCCCCACTCGAAAAATCACCGTCGTCAGGAGCTGTCATTGCGGTTGACGGCACATCGACACAAAAAAACGAAGAGAAAAGAACAGGTGATTGTCGACTAGAGAATGCGGATGGATTTGACCAAACGAAAAGGGGTTCTACTGCGAAGAAGAAAACGCTTCTGTATATTCTGGAGTATGACGTGGCGTGTCAGATTCAGTCAAATTGCGAGATGCTTTACGCCACACTGAGGCGGGAATTTACGCCCCTAGACGCAGTTAACGTGAATGCAAAGACAAAACCTATGACGGAGAAGGCCGATTGTGTGGTGCAGAGAATCTTACAATTTGCGAATGTTGTGATCCAGCTGGCCAATCAGCTTGCCGAGTCATCTGGACAGGAGCACACAAGCACACCCGTGGAAGCTCACGGACGCAGACAACCTGTAAACGAGTTGCCCCTCCCACGCGAGGGAAGTGTGGCCCATTTTCTTACGTATCAGGTGCTCTTTCAATTGCAGTGTCTTGGAATGAATCTCCATCATATTACAACCCTTTACCGTCGGGCACTGGATGTGCGGGTATCTACCCTACATAGTCAGCATGTCAAGTTCATCAAAAAGCTATGCGCAGATGTTCAAGAATTGACAAAATGTATCAACATTATTGTGCAGTCAACGATAGATAGAAACCATAGTGATGAGAAAGCTGATTCGAAGTCGTCAAAGACAACGTATTCCTCTCACTTTAACAGCTGTAGCACTAGCAGCGAATCTTCCTCCTCACTATTGTCGTCCGGTGGACGATCCACACGGCGAAGAAGCTCTACAGTTGAAAGCGCCTTCTCTATATCTACGGCAGGATCCAAGTTGTTGGCCACGCCCTTTTCTACTTTGACGGCATCGACATCGAAAGCCGTTTCGAACCCTAATGTTTTTGATCCAAAGCCATCAGTGCCTTCCCCACAAGGGTATTCCTTTGATACTCCCTTGCCATCATCACCGTCTAAGCGTGATGGGCAAACAGTGTCGGCCGCTACTGAATATGGGTACAATCCCTCACCAATGTTTGACCTTCGAGCTCTTTCTTCATCTCCACCAGTCCACACAATAAATTCTTTGGTGGGCGAGGGGGCCGCAAATAAGGATACTGCCTACGACAATCTAACGAACTCCTCTTATATCACAGCTAGTCTTGCCTCCAAGGCACCATGGCCGCCACACTCAGTTATAATTAATTCAGGGACGGACGTCCAGCAGAAATCGTCTCTTGGTGGCAGCAGCGGGGTGCCGGTGCCTGTTCCCCAGGCGACCCAGCCGGTAGTGGGAGGCGCATCGACGGCGGGGACGGACGTCCAGCAGAAATTGTCTCTTGGTGGCAGCAGCGGGGTGCCGGTGCCTGTTCCCCAGGCGACCCAGCCGGTAGTGGGAGGCGCATCGACGGCGGGGACGGACGTCCAGCAGAAATTGTCTCTTGGTGGCAGCAGCGGGGTGCCGGTGCCTGTTCCCCAGGCGACCCAGCCGGTAGTGGGAGGCGCATCGACGGCGGGGACGGACGTCCAGCAGAAATTGTCTCTTGGTGGCAGCAGCGGGGTGCCGGTGCCCGTTCCTGTACGTTCTTTTGGCGTGCGAAGTTGATTTATTTTTTGTTGTCGTTGCTGTGGGTTTATGAGGCTGACAATTGGCCATTTTTCTTTAGCAGTAGCAATGAAACCATCATTTTGCTGCTGATGTTTTGTCGTAGATGGCGACGCATGTTTTTTTTTTTTTCTTTTTCTTTTTCTTTTTTTTTTTTTTCTATCTCATTGTTGTTGCTATTTTTTTTTTTTTTTTTTTTTTTTTTTTTTGCGAGCCAATAAATTTACTTTTTGCATCACGGTCTACCCTGTGATTTGATGTTTTATGGGCGGTTTAGCACCTGGGTCCATCGATGATGTCACGGATGGTGATTTCCCTTTGGGACGCCTTCACATCGATGGTGGAGGTACGACAGGTTCTTCTTGCTATTCTACTGCTTTTGGGGAAGAGACTGCGAGTATTTATGTTGATGAGGAACCCCCCTTTCCTTTACGCTCGTACAGTTGTGATGGGGGTGAATTTCTTCACATATTCCGGCCACCCAATCAGCCAGAAACGGGGTCGATTCACTGCTACTCCCCTTGGACTGTTCGCGGAGATGACGAGTTTTCTCTTGTGGCTCATGTTGAGGTTGAGGATGAGGAAAAGGGATTTACGTTGGGGATCTGTGGCGCTACAGAAAGCGTTGTAGGCACATTTCTACAGTATTTTTCGGCCGGACAAACGATGCATCCAATGGGAACACAGGAAGTGCGGAGATTCTGCATATGTCCGTGGCATCGACGGGCAGTTCTTTTGGCTTTGTTGGACGATCGAATTATCTCTTGTGTTTATCTCCCATCTGCCGAGTTTTGTCTTTCTAGAAGTGGGAGAGGAAGAGAAGAGGCAGGATTAACGCAAGAATCACCGACTGCGTTGTTTGAGCCAACACCCATCGATGTGGACGCGTGGCGTGTTGTAGTGGAACACAAGGGTCGGGGATTCGTGCGCTTCTATGCTGTTGAGCGACGGAAAGGCTCATGCTACTGTGATGCCCCCTTATCTCAACTAAGTTGAAGGAGGGCCTGTATAAAGTTTTTTCTATCCATCTATCTGTCCCCTCGCATGATATTTAAAAAGAACTTTGCAAATATCTTGGCATTTTCACATAATGCTCTATTAATGGCACTTCAGTATGTTTTTTGCTGCGTTTTGCCCTACCTGCTTTCTGCATTGTGATAATAGTACGGACTCACATTTTGCCAAAGGTATCGTCGCATTCGGTGTGCGCGCGTGTATGTGTAAGGAAATAGGTCAACAAGAGAAAAGAGAATTGCTGAAGAAACGAGAATGAAACGCGCGTTAGTCTTTTCTGGCCAGGGAGCCCATCGCCAGGGAATGTCTATGGAATACCTGCGCGTTCCCGCGGTTGCTCGACTCTGGGAACGGATGAAGGACCAGATGATGCAGAAATATGGCATTTCTCTACAGGAGGTCATGACAGTGAACCCACAAAAGATACACGTGCGCGATGACGCACTGGACGTAAGTGTAATTTGCAAAAGAGGTTCTTTGGAAGATCGAAACGTAGCTGAGTCAGTTCCGCGGAAAAAGTTTTTGTCATCCCAAGAAGGGGTCATGTCGCTGACGTTTTTAACACAACCATGCATGTTGGCAGCGCATATGTTAGCACTGGAGTATCTCCGTTCGACACGGGGGTATTCGGTCGAATCTGCCTTTGTCATTGCTGGTCACAGTCTTGGCGAGTTTTCAGCCCTGTGTGCATTAGGTGTTTTTTCACCTGAAGTCGCGGTTGATCTTGTATACAAGCGTGGAGTCTTAATGGATTACGCTCTTGAGCAGTTTTCAGCTAATCGTGATGATTACGTCATGTACGCCTGTCATCCCGGAAGGGCGAAGCTCTGCGAAGAGGACTTGGATGTTGCGGTCGATCAGTTTCACATACTTGTGGAGCTCGTGGCTCGAGCTCTTTCCGCTACAACCTCATTCGTGGAGGTTGTAAATTATAACATTGATCACGAACAGTATGTTGTTGCGGGAGATCGAGTGGGGCTGTCCGCTCTGGGGAAATGTCTGGATCCGCAGTTTCGAGCGAGTATTTGTGGCCCATCCTCTTCTTTGGATCACATTGCACGCACAGCCGTGTCGTCCGTCTGGCAGGATAAAAAGGATGGTGTCACGATGCACCCCAATAAGGGGCCTTTACCGGATTTCGTAACGTCATCCGTGAAAAAATACGGTGTACGCTCGACGTTTCGTCGCTTTTTGCGGGGTCCAGACGATGGGTACACGCCATCACTGGAGGAACTAACGCATCTGACCCTTCAGGAGGATGGACGAAGTGGGCTAAAAAAAAAGTCATGGTTTGTTCCTCTTCCTGTAAATGTCCCGTTTCACAGCAGCCGGCTTCGCCGGGCGATGGATCTTTTCTTGCCTGTAGTTCAAGATGCGATGCCGGAGGAAGATGTGCTGCGCTCCATGCTGGGTGTGGCTGCAAAGCCCCTCGAGGAGTCCAATTCAGCTTCTGCACCTTCAGCCATAGAGAAGCGTCCTGTGTGGCTGACGAACCTCACAGGCAGTGCATTTCGACCCTTGGATCCCGAATTTCAGCGCCAGGCGCTGGAGATGATGCAGTCAATGAATGTGGGCGAGGTTCGGCACCACGGCCGGTACCAAACGGACTTGGTGGAAAAAGCCTTTAACGACGGTGTGAAGCATAACAGTGTACGTGAGATGTGTGCGGCCGTTCTTGCCGCTCAGTTGGCGCATCCTGTGCAGTGGATTGACCTTATGGATGCTGCCGTCATTCACGCAGGTATTCGCGAGGTACACGAGATTTCACCTGTGCGAACGACCGCCGATATGTTTAGGCGTACAGCGTTTTGCGAGGCTGGTGAGGCGGGAGTTGCACTGGAGATGGTTATCCGCTGCCTTCCCGCAGAGGAGCGATTTTTGTAATAAAAAAAGAAGGGTTGGGAAATGGAGACGATTGCTGCTGCGGATTGCCCAGCTTTTTTTCCTTCTGAATTTTGTTCCCGTTGGGATTGGCGCCCCATCCATGAATAATGCAAACATATAAATTTTGCTTTGTTGGGAAGTCCGTTTGAAGAAGCTTTCTCATTTCCACATTTTTATTATTATTATTATTTTTTTTTTCGTGTGTGTTTGTGTGTGTGTGTTTTCTGTCGTTGCTGCCATGTATAGTAAATGTTCAGACTGCGGACTGTTGGATTTGGTTGCGCGGGACCACTTTGTGTGAGTGGAGCGCGTCTATTGTGGTGGGGGTACAAGGAACGTGACCTCCACCGACTTGCTCGTCAGCGTCCGTGGTGGGAGAACGCTGCAATTTTTGCCGGGCTTCTCTGCTTTATTCAGGTTACGAGTATGTGCTATTACTTTGGGAACCGCATGTACCAAGCTTGGCGGCCATCTGGTAACACTCTCTATGTGAATAAGGCGATGGACACTAAGGTTTTCGCGCGTCCTGATTTGTCCGTGGCAGCGGTGCGTATGGTTATTCATTACGTGCTTTCAGGCACCCAAACACCATTTGGAGCCCCCATGGTGTATCCGGAGTACATGCGTCCAGAAGCGGAGGAACTGATGAAATTTATTTTTGATTTACACAGTGAGCAGCCCATGTTCTCTATTCCTGATCTTTGGGCGATGCTGTCGGCAAAGGCGCTCGCTCGCCTGGGAGGGCCGAATATTTCTGTACGTCGCGGGAGACCAGACCCCCCGGGCCATTTGGCAGTTGAGCAGTTTCTCGTTGAGACTCCTTCCCTTGTTCCGGAAGGGAAACGCGATGTACTCAAGATGAAGCGATTGCTTGCGGGGCAGGGATTTTCCGTGGAGGAGATTGTTGGCATGATTGGAGGTATTCGAACAATTGGCTTTCATGATAGTTCGGGGTTTCACACAAAAGAAGAAGTAAAGCCACAAATACGTCGTCACCCGAGTCTGATGGGACCCCAGGAGGACGTGTTTCATCTTCCTGAGACGATGGAAAAATGCACTTTAGATCCCTACGTGTTTGGTGGGGAATATTTTGATCTTCTTTTGGATTATAACTGGAGGCAGCGAAGTCTTATCGGTTGGCGGAGTGGACCCTTTCGCTGCGATGAGAAGGATCGTAAACGCGAGATCACACTTCTGGATCCATTTTCAGAGCAGGCCGTAATGAGGGAGCGGAAGCGTCTGCAGGCGCAAGAACAGGCACGGGAGGCGGTTGAGCGGGCGGCCCAAAAACGAGAACAGATCACTCTACCTGAGGAAGAAAAGGCGGAATCCGCAATGGGACGTGTCGGCGAGGCGCAGTTTATTCCTGGTGTGGAAATGCAGGAAAGTGTGGATGATGACACGACGGAAGCTGTTGGTTCGTTGGTGGTGCCGGAGTTCAAGAGCCCCTGCTCAAGTGTTTCGATGCGGGAGATGGACATGATGTTGCTGGACGATGCGCTCTTGACTGGGTGGCTGCACCGCTTTAGCACAAACGAGATTCGTTTCTACACGGTCTTTGGCGAAGTCATGGAGAAGATCCAGAACCGAGGATATAATCTCAACTCCCTTTACGTTCCGACGTGAGCGCCTTTTTTGTTGTTGTCTCGATCCTCTTTTTTTTTTTTTTTTTTTTTTTTTTGTTTTTTGTTTTTTTCTCGCATTTTCTGAGTCTACTTCCCTTATCCTGGAGTCCAGAAGGACTCCCGACTTGGGGGAGTCCGTCTCCACATATTTCCTTATTATTATTTTTTTTTTTTTTGTTAAGGGTTTCTTTTGTTTCTCATTTGTCATTTTGACATGTTTTGCTCGTCTCTTCCCCGATGCATTTTTTTTTCTTTTTTTTTTTGCCGCTGCACTGTAATAATAACAACGGTGCCGAACGGCGTGGATGGTGGTGCTTGCAACTAGCATTCCGAGGGGGTATCATGAACGAATCAAAACAAGAAGGAAAGAAAAGAAACGTGGCAGCAGCGGCAGCGGCCAACGTGGACGGGTATTTACGCAATGCGTCAAGGCGGGTTCGAATCCCCAGTGCGTCGGGCGGGAGGGGTACACGGCGCAAGTTGGCGATGGTGACCGCGGCGAGTGTGGAACAGGCTTCGCGGCCTGTGGTCAACACGAACACATCCGATGCCGTCGACTTGGATGACGAGTGGGACGAGGTGGTGCTGCCGAACGCCAACGCTGCGGCGGTAAAGAAGGATGAGGGAAAACTCAAGAAGGAAGAGAGCTCTCAAAAGCCCAAAATGGATGTCCCCGTGGCGAATTCGTGTGCCGGTAGCATCAAAGCAGAGGCATTGGAGGTAGAAGACGGCGAAGTCGTGGGGGGCGATGAGGACCCGAGCGCACAGTCGTTGATGGAGGGCACACGGCCTCCACTGACAGGCACATCGATCCAACGGTGGAGAAGAAATGAACATTTCCAAGAGCGCATGCCTGAGCAGCAGCAAATTCTCGCTGCTCAGCGACGTTCAGAACGAATTCGGCGAGCCGCAGAAGGAATGTCTGTTTTAATTTTTGCCTTACAGAGGTGCAAAACACTCGTTAGAGAATCCCGTTACCCGCAACTACTGCGGAAACTGCTACGCGTATGCACTGTCGAAGTGAATGGTTCTAAATCGTTCCCTTTCATACAGGCTGTACAGCGCGCAAGAGAAGAATATCAACGCGCTCTTGACCCTGCAGTGAAAAATCCCGCCCTGTCACCCTGTTGGGTTACCGTGGGCAAGGATACCGTCCGGAATTATACCTCCAATTCCATAATGGCTTTGTTTAGTGGCATCACCACGGTATTTACCCTGGAGGATAAGGTTGATGCCTCAATCCTCTCTAATTGGGCTGCGCCTATTTCCTTTGGGCATCTCTCCAACCTGTTGTCAAGATCGCATCAGTTTCTTATCTCCCCCGATGCCAAGTTGCCCCTGCCGCATTCTTTGTACTTCAGCATCATATTTCTTTCGGTTGCCAACATTTTGGGCATGTCATGTCGACTGGTGATGGCGATAAAAAAAGAGCGGGAGCGACAGAATCCTGTTGTGACTGAAAATGGGAATGTTTCCGAAAAACCGGCGCAGATGACAATTTTTTTGCCGCGTGTAAAGCGTCAACGAAAAGAGGGTGCTAATGAGGAAGATAAATTACCACAGAAGCTGCCATCTTCTTGCTTCTGGGTAGAAGTCTGGTGTCCGCAACGTGAGAGTTTCATCTCTGTTAACCCGTGTAAAGGTTGCACCGCACTCTGGGGAGCCCCGTACACATTTTCGGTTGGTGGCGATGTTGCCATGGATGTGACGCCGCGGTACACTACAAAGTACAGCAGCGCATTTACTTATCGGTGGGGCCGCTGTGATTCATATCGCTTTCTCTGGAAACACCTGGACTGGAACGATACCAGAGAAGCCTCTGAGGTCATACTCGATGCCTTCCGTAAGGATATGACCCGAAACACATGCATTCAGCTGGCTCGAGAACGTCGGCAGCTCCATTCGCTTACATATGCGGAGGAAATACCAAAAACGCTTACAGCGTTGCATAAACATCCGTTGTTTGTTCTTGAGAATGAGCTCGCACGACATGAAGGAGTGTATCCGAAGGACAATACGACGATTGTTGGAAGTGTGAAGGGTCACACAGTGTATAAACGTTCTGCTGTTGTCAATCTACGCAGCCGAGATGGCTGGCTTCGTGTAGGACGCTGTGTAGTAAGCGAAGATGAGGCCCCATATAAGGTAGTACCCCCGCCGGCCTCACGTCCTTTTGGATCCTCTTCTGGCTTCTTTGGAGTGTGGCAGACGAAACCGTTTGAGCCCAGTCCCCTGCGCAGTGATGGGTCGCTGCCTTTGCATGGCAAAACGCGCTGGTACGTTCTTCTTGGTAAGCCCGTACCTGAGGGATTGGCGTATATTCAACGGCCCAATATTGCCCGAGTAGCGCGTCTAGTGGATGTTGAATTTGGACATGCTGTCATGGGATTTCAACGGCGCCGCTTGGATGAGCGTCGATTTTCACACTGGGAGGCTGTCTTTGATGGTATCGTTGTAAGGGAAGCGGACGCGGCGAACCTCTTGCATGCATACGATGAATGGAGACAGCTGACAGAGGAGCAAGAGGCCACGAAGCGACGACAGCGAGCCAATCGATGGTGGCTACATTTTGTCCAGCGAATGCTGGCTATGCAGCGTGTTCGTCAACAATATTTGGATGGTGCATCTCACGGATATCTTCCGTTGCATTAACCTCCTTCTTTATTCTGCTATTATTATTTATTATTATTTCCCTCCTCTCTCTCTTTATTTGTTGCTGGGGATGGGGATGAGGAAATTCTTTATCCTGCGCCGCACCGAAGTGGCGCCCATCGGAATGCTTTCAAGAGTTGGGAGACTTGGCTCATTGTTTTTCTTTTTCTTTTTTGGTGTTTTTCATGACAAAGGAGGGTCGACAAGGAAAAACAGTGAGAGCAGCGACGAAATAGCAATGCGCTCTACTCCGTATCTTGGCGGCGGCGCACGTGCCACTACAAATAATCTCCCATCGTTTACGGGCGTTTCGCCCCGTGTTTCCTCACGCAGCGTAGCGACCCACCGCGGCGAGTATGTCTCCATTGTGCTCAAGCCTACAGCGCTGAATGCACAACGTGGTTCGCTGGAGGCGCTCTGTGTCGCGACGGATGAGCCCGTCGAGGTAATGGGACTCCCCAGTGGAGCGGAAGTGGCGCAGGTGAATGAGTTTGTGTGCTACGTGAACCCCAGCAGCGGGGAGCTGGAGTACTTCCAACACGGCACGTACAACGACGAATACGACGTGGAGACGTATCGCAAACTGTTGGATCTTTGCCCAAAGTTTCCACAGCTTTTTTAAAAGCTGAAAAGATGACCGTTGCCCGAAGGCAAGGCAATGGGTTGCGTGTTGCCAGCACAGAGGACATAGAAGGAATGAAAGAGGAAGTGAATAAAAAAAAAGGAGGTGGAGAAGAGCATAAATACAGAGGCCTCTACCGCTGCAATTATCGCCACGACGTCATATGCGTGTTTCTGATATTCAGCAACAAACATGAGCGGGAGGAGGGTGAAGGAAAAGAAAGAATAAGCGAGAGAGAGAGAGAGAGAGAGAAGTGGTTGCTTCACGTGGAATTTACACAAAATACAATAATGCAGAAAAGAGGATGGTCTGCTTTCTGCTACTTGTGTTTGTGTGTGTGTGTGTGTGTGTGTGTGTTTATTCACACCGCATGGGTGATGTTTTTCCCAACCGTCGTTGGCACCACTCGCTTTTTTTTATATATATCTTGGGATTTTTGAAGTATTAAAGAGCCACTTTCTGTGTGTGTCTGTCCATGTATGCTGACGAGGGTATAACTTCGTAATAACAAGAAATATATGGATATATATATTAGGTGGTTTACTATTGCTTTGTAGCGTGAGGGGTTTTACAAATAAGTAAAAGTTTATAACCTTTCAAATTATGGAGTCCTCATTGCAGACATTTCTAGAGGCATATCCTTTTCGACATCCTGAGAACCCGTACGAACAGACGAAGGCCATCTGGTCCAAACTGGTGGGTTGGGAAGGGGAGTCCGCCGCGGGTCCATCCCCCCTGTTTTGCGTGCAACCCATTCCTCTAGCGCTTCTTCAGAAGTGGAAGTGTTACTTTGCCTTCTGTTCTCGCGTCATTTTCTATGAAATGGATTGGAGGGACGTGTTTGTGTACATGGGTGATGTGCCAAAAGCAGCAACGCTCTCAGTGCCACGTGATCATGTAGGATCTGACAGAAAAGCAGGGGTGGGAGTTGATGCGGATCGGGGGGAAGGCAATGGAAAAAAACAGTTGGAAACGACGGCGGGTGCATATCATCGCTCGACGATGGCTTTAATTCATACACTGGCGAATGGTTGCGAAAGGCGTTTTGGAGCATATCCATTGCGCTTTCATTATCAATGGCTCGTGCGATGGACCAAAATGCTGGCGCAGTGCATCGAATGGCGCTTGTTGGATATATCAAAGAGGGGTGGATCTGTGCCACTGGAGGAGCTGCAGCGTTATCGTCTTGTTTTTGCTTCCAGGGCACGGGAGGTTTTCGGTGCGGCTGCCTACATACGCACAGTACTTGAACTTTTGGAAATAGAGGAAGAAAAAGAAATCTGCAATACAGATATTTCTTTAAAGGGTTTGCCCAGCCTCTCTCTTAGCCAAAATTTTCCTTTGACCTTGACACTTTCCATGAGGTTTACGCTTTCTCGCGCCACATCTGTTTCTATAGAGCAGTGTTTTTCTGTGCACTCAGCACGTGTTCTGGACTCGCTCTGGGCAGACGTTCTGTGCATTCCATGGGATGTGTTGGACCCAAACAGTATGCCTGAGAAGGTACGTAGAAAATTGTTAGCCTCCTTGAATAATGCGGATGGTGACACAGACGAAATATATGTGTTGTGTGGAAATGGCGGCTGCCGAATGCGTTCCGCGACATTGAAAGCTATTTTAGAGAATGAAACCCTGGAGAGGGCAGGAATTGCAAATAATCCCCTGTTAGGGATTGTCAGGCTTACAACAGCGCCGCTTGAATTTGTAGAGCCCCACCAGTTGCCTAATGTGAAACATTTGCTAGAAACGGTTGGATATGTCATGCTAACAAAAATTCGCTGTCACTTCGTAGAGAAGTGCTATTACACGCTTCCTTTTTTAGCAGATTTTGTGGCTGCAGGAGTGCTACTTAAAAAAGCATTGGTTTCCTTCTCACGGGTCTCGGCAGACCCAACATTATCCAAAGCAGAGGAGTCCAAAGTGGTATTGGGTATGGGACTGACGCCAATGCTGCTTCGAGCTCTCTTGGAAGCTACGGAAGATTTTTACGCCAGTTGCGTGGATAGTCTTCTACATGATTATTCAAAAAGGGCGATGAAGCACTTTGTGGAATTTTGTGGTGGCAGCGCGACCGTCGTCGTGTCTCAGGTGACGCTGAAACTATTGGAGGTTGTCGTGGAACCGACCCTAGAGGTGTTGTTTATGCTACTGAGCCACGCTTCCTCTTCCAAGGAAGAGTGTATTTTTATTTATTTTATCGCCGATATGCTTAAGTTTGTGCTGAATGAAAAGATGAGGGAAGCCAGAAGGGAATGTAAGATTGGCTCTCGTGTTTTGCTGCAGTGCCGTATGGATCTGTTATTGCTGATGAGCTACATTGATGAACATCCCTTAATGCGACGTCGTGCCTCCTTAATGTAATTCTCCTTTTTTTTTCCCTGCCTGTTTTTTTGTTTGTTTGTTTCTTTGGAAAAAAGAAACCTGCGAACCACCAGCAACAGCAACGAGAAGGTATGATTTTACTCGTGTTGATTGCTTTTATTCTTCTCTTCTATGAGGCACCCGATGTTGACGACTGGTTTTATTTTTTTCCTCGTGACTTCTTTTTTTTCTTTTTTTTTTTTCTTTTTTTTTCTTTTTTTTTCTTTTTTTTGTTGGCCTTTTATTCGGGAAGCAATGCTGCGAATTTGCTTGCGGCCATTGTGCCGCCCCCCTGTCTTTCAGGCGGGCGAGTCTGTCGGTGGATGCCTGACGAACTCCTTGCATTGCGATGGGAAAACGGCGCCTTTGGAGCGGCTGCTTGCACCGTTTATCCCAGTCACATTCACCGCCCTCACGCAGATAAGCCGTAGTGTCGATGCGGAGCTGATGGAGAGAGTTGCGGAGGCGGGAGGCCTACGGAGCTTCCTTGGCCGCCACTCGGAATTGTTTGCTGTCTCAAAGGTGGGTGGCGTTTACGTGGCCCGCCGCCTCCGACGTCGTTGTGTGGGGTCCATCCCCTCTGAAGGTGCGGGTCTTCGTCTGTCTTGCGAGGCACACGGCCCCGAACCGGAGCAGCAGGTGGAGGGTGCGGGTGTATTTCCACGGATCCAAAACGTCCCCATGGAGGTGTTTCGCCTATTTCCTACTTTCTTTGTGCCCATGGAGGCGTTATTGGCGCACTTGTGTAAACTGCCGTTGACAACGTTATCCAACTCGAGAAGAGAAGAGGAATTGGTTTCCGAGGACCACTCCGGCAGGAGTCCTGAGGCCGTAGCAGAATCTCTCGTCGAGAAGTACAATAAATTTCTCGATGTTGTTTCGTTGAATGACAAAAATGGCAACGGGGAGAAGGAAAAAATTAAGAAATTTGTGCGTCTTCAATCGAAATTTGCTACACGTGCTGCCTCGTATGAGGAAAAGGAGGTGGAAGTTACAGGAGGCCGTGAAGGATGCATCAGTCAAATTATGGAGCCATACAAAGTGGAAGAATATGAACAATACCGTGTAGCTCGCCTGATTCCCGTTGCAGAGGAATTTTGTTCCATCTCTGCAGAAATGCGACAGGCGGCGGCTGTGTTGCTTCCTGAAGGGCGGTGCTTAATTCATGTGCTTTTGTCGGCACCAGATCTCTTTGAAGTTCGGGATACGCCAGAGCTGTCTGTTCGCTTTATTCTGGACTCGCGCTTCAGACCGACCACCACGTGCACGAAAGAAGAAATTGAAAGGAAGCTGACCGAACTGAAGGAATCGCGAGTGAAAAATGGCCTAAAAATGCCGATTGATCGAAAAAAACGACGAACTTTATCGAGACAACTTCAGTTTTTTGTTAAACCCACGCCATACTTGGACGAACGTGTTTGGGCCCACGCATTGCTGGATACGTTGCCGCTGGACGGTCCCGTCGCATTTGCTGTCGCCATGTCAAATCTTCCAAGTGAATGTCTGGCCTGCACTCCAGTGAACTTACAACGTCTTATTTCTCAATATTCTTATCTGTTTAGCCTAGTTGAGGGGGAGAGGGAGAAGTTGCTGCAGCGTGCGGATATTCCCGCAGTTGAGCAGCGTTCACTGTCAAGTATCGATACGGAGGAAATACTGTTGACGATCTACAATTACTATCCACGCCGTAGGCATCCTAACTGTGGGACATGTCTTGAACGTTGTATTTATTCTATGCCGCTGCTGCTCCGTACTAAGTTGCGTCAGTTGGACTTTGTAGAGGATGTACTTCGTAAGCATCCTGACAAGGTTGAGGTGCTCGGTATGCTTGACGAGGAACTGATGATGCATGATAAAAACTTAACTGAAAAGTCGCAAATGTGTCAAGTATTTCGTTTCGTCGGGGAGTATCAGGCGGAGTTGATCAAGCGCTATGAGGCACTTTGTGCCAAACTGGGTAAAGACCCCAACACAAAAAGGTTGGTGTAGAAGATGAGAGTTTTTGCAATGAAGAGGAATGTTGTGAGTCTTTGCTTGTTTGTTTGTACACGTTTATGTGTGTATATGTGTAGGTACATATATATACATATATACATGCGTTTTGGCGGTTGTGGTTTTTATTACGACGATGCCATTTTATTTTGAGATCCTTCTAATGTGACTTGTTTTTTTTGTTGTTGTTGTCGTTTTTTTGGTGTGGTGGCTGCTGTGAATTTTGTGGTCAGTGGGTTGCGCCGCGCAATGAAGCACCGACCATCTTTTCTTTGTTTTCTTTCTTTTTTTCCCTTTTTTTCTTTTTTCTCTTTTTATTATTATTATTTCTTTTGCGGGTCTTTCTCTCCTTTGCGATGATGAATGACATGTACGTTACAAAAGTTGACAAGAACGTTCTCCCTCCATTCTCCCAACGCACGCCGTTGATGTGGAGGAAACCTTCAAGCATCAAAGCAGAAAATAAAAAATAAAAAATAAAAAAAAAGTTGATCACAACACACATGAAATGCATAATGATGAAAACTCGGATTAGTTTTCAGCTACACGAGAGGAATGACCACATGACTCTATCGAGTTCGAGAAACGTGCGAGCGATTACTGACGCACACCCAACACCCGTCTTACCCGTTTATTCCTCCCCTATCCTTCCTTCCCTATTTCATTCCGTTAGCCCTCGAAAGAGTCATTCCTCGTTATTTACCACATGGCGGGGCAATGTAGTTGCGGCGGCGAGATGACGTGTTTTGGCAGCCAGCTGCTCCTTTATTGTTCTTTTGTCTCTTTTTGGTTCTTGCGTGTGAGTGATGATCTAAACAATTTGCACGTCAGTTTGATTCCGTTAATGAGATGTCACAATTGTTTTTCGCCACACTGTGGCTTCACTGACTGGAAGAAGGCCCTTTGCTTTCGTGCACACACTGCGAGACGCATTCCCTCACAACATTTTTCTCAGTTACCTTCTCAGTTATGGTCTGTTGTGTGTGTGTGCGTGTGTGTGTATTCGTGCTTTGGGCTTGTTGTTTCTGCGTTTATTGCCTTTTTGTTTTTGTTTTTTACTTGGCGTGTGTGTTTTTGGGTCGGCGCCGAACGTTGGTAAAGCAACATCTCTCTTGAAGAGCAAAAGCATATATGCCACAAGGTGGACGGGGTCCCATGGTGCTGCTAAAGCAGCAGCGGTTGCCCGCATGGCAGCCCATCCTTACGCCTCCACATGTTGCGCTAGCTTTTTTCCTGCTGAGCATATTATTTATCCCTTTAGGGGTTTTCGTGACGCTAATGAACAAACAGGCGAAGGAGGTTACCGTTCGTTATGATCATATTCATCGCTGCACAATTACACATAACACAGGCGCCTTTATATATGAAGGCAACAATATGACGTTTAAAACTGGATGTATGACGGAAGTTTCTTTTGATATCACGGAGAAACTTAAGGCCCCCGTATATCTTTATTATGAATTAACAAGATTTTATCAAAATCACAGGCGGTATTCAATCTCGCGAAACGATGAACAATTGGCCGGTAAAGCCGTGAGATATTTGCCAGACACGTCACCTCTTGCCATACCAGGGGATATTTATGGAATCTCTGGGACTCCCATCAAATACGTGGATGGTTCGGATTTGCGTTACAAGGATTTTTTGTACGTTCCAGCCGGCCTCATTGCCTGGTCCATTTTCAATGACACGTTTACTCTTTACACAGAGGCGACGAATGGTGGAACTTCACGAAAACTCATATGCAACGCGACGGATTTTTCGAAAGGGAACAATCTTCCTCTTAATGGCTCGGAGTCAAAAAATATGTGCGTCAAGAAGGGGATTGCTTGGGATACGGACGTGGAATATAAGTTTAAGGCCCCGGATTTAGAGGCGAAAAATCGTTTCTGGACGGCGGCAAAAGAATTGTACACGGGGAAGGTGCCTACTCCAGAACTATCAAATGATGACTTTTTCAACAAGGGGTGGTACGCGGGTGAACTGGGTCACGCCATTCCCGTGACAACCGATGAGGATTTTATGGTTTGGATGCGTCCTGCATCGCTTCCGAGCTTCCGCAAGCTGCATCGTGTCATCAACGTTGACCTTCCGCCAGGGAAGTACGTAATGGTGATTGGGGAGCACTTTGACGTCTCATCATTTGGTGGCACAAAATCCTTTGCGCTGGCCACGCTCTCTTTCTTGGGAGGGAAGAACGTATGGCTTGAGGCATTATATTTCTCACTTGGTGGATTTTCTGTGGTGTTTGCTGTTGTGTTGCTTTTGGTTCATCGTTTTTCTGGAGACCGTGCCTCGAAGGCCATTGATGAATTGATTCAAAAGTGACCCGTCAATCTTCTTTTGTAGGTGAAGAAGAAGAAGAAGAAAAGTGTTTCCTTTTTTTTTTTTTTTTTTGCTTTTGTCTCTCTCTCTCTCTCTCTCTCTCTCTCTCTCTGAATTTGCATATGTGTTTGTGTGGTTTTCTGTAAACAGTTTTTTCCATTTTCTATTTTATGTTTTTTTTTTTCTTTTTTTTGTGGTTGCCCATTTTTGCTTCACACATTCTTTTTTCGTACCACCGTATTCAATCCTGTGGAGAGGGTGTCCCTTTTTTTTTTTTTTTTAATTCTTATTATTATTATTCCCTTCTGTATTTCGCTGAATACAAATATAAATATATAAATAAATATAAATATTTGCAATTTCTCCTGCAGAGAGGGAGGTGTACACGAGTGCGAGTCTTATAGGAAGAGAAGGGGGACTTGCACATCCCATGGAGCTTGAGGTCGCTAGCGATGGGGATGTGTACGCCCGTTCGCTGCAGGAGGCGAGGTGGGATATCTTGCAAGGGTTAAATGTGGCAAAAGACTGGGGGCGACTTGAAGAAAGACACCCGTTCTTCCGTGATGTGATATTGGACGCGAAGCGACAGGCGAAACTGTTGGCATCGGTACTCACAGCGACGGAGTTTTTTCTTCAGCGACTGCGGTGGTGCTGCGAACATGATACGGCACCCAGCTTTGTTGATGCAAATAGGGTGAAACAATGGCGCGCTTCCCTTGTGGTGTTTATATCACTTTATGAATCTTCCCCTGTCCCGACCCGGGCGCGTTGGGTGGCCGAGTCGCGGGAACGCGCAGATGGGGCATGCGCCGTGAGTGTGGATGGCGATGAAAAATATAATAGCTACGACCACAATAAGGTTGGTGGTATGGATGATGACGATGTTGATGATGATGATGGTTCCTTTGTGGAGAATCGTTTAAAAGACATGGTTTTGCAGTGTCTTGCAATCGGGAGAATGTGGTGCCGTCAGCTCGAAGAGGAGGACGAGATGGCAGTGAAGGTACGTCACGCCTTGTCTGTTATGGATGCCTTTGCAGCCCCAAAGACGCTTGACTGGTGAGTATTTCTCTTTGTGTATTTGTGTGTGTGTGTGCCGTTACTACCCGGCAGTGTGTTAAGTGAACGAGAAAGGGGGAATCACGCTTAAAACTTCTGAGCGGTTTCCCCTCCTATTTACTTTTTATGGATGTATATGTTTCTATTGTTCCGTTTAATACTTCAATGCTGGCTTTGGTGTGGCTTCGTTTTCTATTTGCCTTATTTCCCTTCATGCACACCTTTCTTTTTGGCAAACATGAAATACGACACATTATAAGTCTAATAATCGAACAAAAAACGAAGCCAAAGAAAAAGAAAGTAAAAAGATGGTGACGACCAAGTTTATTGACACCCCGGAAACAGCCGTTGACACGGCGGTTAGGGCGCTTTGCATGACGCGGCCACACGTGCAGTTCATAGAAAATACACATGTTGTGGTGAACCGCAAGATTGATCCAACAAAGGTCCTTATAGTCTGTGGAGGTGGTGCTGGACATGAACCAGGTCACGTGGGATTTGTTGATTGTGGCTGGCTTAGTGCCGCGGTATCTGGAGACGTCTTTGCATCGCCCCCCACCATCCATGTAACGGCTGCCATTGATTATTTGCACGCCAAACAAGGCCCTAATGGCCCCGGGGTTCTTGTTGTTGTTAAAAATTATATGGGCGACATTTTGAACTTCCAGTTTGCCGTTCATGAGGCCCAAACGAGGGGTATAAATGTGGAGATGGTGATGGTAGCGGATGATGCGTGTTTTGGCTTGGACGATATCAACTGTCGTCGAGGTATTGCGGGAACAATTCTCCTGTACAAAATTCTTGGGGCAGCTGCACTGAAGGGTGAAAATATGGCGGCATTGAAGCAACTTGCCGGTCGTATATCAAGTGGAATGCGCTCCATTGGAGCGTCCCTTTCCTCCTGCTCGCTCCCTGGGTCAAAACCATTGTCGACTGTGCCGGATGGCCTTGTCGAAGTGGGGCTTGGCATTCATGGTGAAAAGGGATTGTACCGGATACCATTTGAAGGAGCAAAGACGCTTGTTTCCCATCTTCTTGGAATCTTGCTTTGCGGTGGGAAAAAGAGTGGTGAGCATAAGGAAGGAGAGACTGAGAAGGAATGGAAGGGAGCGAAAGTGGCACTTTTGGTCAATAATTTGGGCTCAACAACGGATATCGAAATGGGGATTCTCACACATCATGCTTTAAAGCAGCTGCAGCAGGCTGGTATGGATGTGGTTGGTGTATCGGTGGGTCGCTACATGACAGCATTGGAGATGCATGGATTTTCATTTACATTGTTGCGTTTTTCTAATCAAGATGATATTGCTTTCTTGTTTGATCAGCAACAGACACCACTTTTACCGTTTACCGTTCCACAGTTCTCTATTTCCCCTGCTGTAGGGCCTCGCTTTGCGCTACAGTTGGCGCAGGAAGAAAAATGTGGTTTGCAGTGTAATGGTCTATTGGGTCGAGTTCTTGAAAACGTTTTTGAAACCTTAAAGAATAGCAAAGATTACTTGAATGAACTTGATGCTGCGGTCGGTGATGGAGACATTGGAAGTGGGACGACGCGTGCCTCCATAAAGGCATTGGAAATCCTCCCGCATCTTCCCTTGGAAACAAACGTGAGCAAAGCATTGGCTTTGCTTGCGAAGGCCGTGGCGGATGCGTTTGGTGGCTCTTCAGGGCCATTATATGGGGCCTTTCTGCTAGGTGCTGCTTCTGCAGTCGCTGAGACGATGTGTCGAGACGGTGCGAGCAGCGTGGATGCTATCCGGGCGGCGTTGAGGGCTGGTAGTGCTAACATCCAGCGCGTTGCGCGATCCAAGAAGGGGGATCGCACGATGGTGGACGTTTTGGAGGCGCTGAACGAAAACCCCCAAGTGAATGACGCCAACTCCATTCAAGAATTAGCTCGTGTCTGTGTTCCAGAGGCGAAGAAAGCCGCCGCAGCCACGGCATTGTTGCCTGCAAAACACGGCCGGAGCCGCTACCTGCAGGGGAAGGAGTTGGGCCAACCGGACCCTGGCGCCGAGCTTGTTGTCCTTTGGATTGAGGCCGCAGCAAACACAGTTCTGTCAGGGGGTAAATTGTAGGAAACAAGTGTGTGTGTGTCTGTGTGTGTGTGTGTCTGAGGGGAGGACGAATAAATCTGGGAACAAACGAGGACGATTAGAATCAAAACAAAATTTTGCGTTTTAGTGTGTGTGGTGTTTTGGGCATTGTTTTCTGCATTGTTTTTTTTTTTTTTTTTTTTTTTTTTTACGATGTGTTTGTGTGTTCCTTAATTTTCTCCTTTGTTTGCATCGTCTCCAGTGCGGCGTGCCAATGTACGCAGGTCTCTTTAAGAAGCGGCCACGTGAAGCCGATGCAGCTTCCCATGGGAACGCACCGAAAGACAGTGGGGAGGCATCGAGCGGGGCCGCCGGCATCCCGTCAACCACGCTGTCTCCCCGCACTGTGTACCACTATCCCTCGATGCTGCCATTCCCAACGGTGATGGATTCTGAATTCCCCGCTGAGTCGTATCGTTCCCGCAGCAAGGACGTAAAGGCGGCTATTCATTGGGGCCAGCGGAAACTCTTACTTTCTGAGATTCAGCTCCTCTCCCTATATGCTCGGCCGAATGTGTCTTATCACATTGTGTACGCAGGGTCAGCCCCTGGAACTCATCTTGCATTTCTTGACGAACTGTTTCAGAGTCGACACACCTGGGAACTTGTGGATCCGGGAAGATTTGATCGGCCCGTGCTGGAGTCACGACCGAATTTTTATCTTCGTAACGAATTTTTCACAAACGTGACAGCCTATGGCATTAATGCGCGCCGTCTTTTGGAGGTGCTTCCTGGGCTGGGAACCGTTTACCGTTGTGTCGCCGTGGACGGTGCGTGGTCAACAAAGAAAGAAATCCACCAAAAGCTTCAGAGCATCGTTGGAACGATTGATGTGGCCCGTGGCACGGAGGATATCCCATCCATGTACGAACCGCGGTTGGATCTTCCCTTTGGCTTTGAGCTTCTTTGCTACGTTGGTATGGAGCGAAGCAAGCCGCTGATGTTTGTCTCCGATATCCGTTCTGGGAGCGTCAACCTCCCCAACTTTGAGGATCATGTGGCGGAGAATATGCGGGCGCAAGAGTGTTGGTGCCAAATTCTTCAGGGTGAGTACAGCATGCTGAAGTTCCGATTGCCGTACACACATAAAAAAATTGGATTTGGTGACATTAGTCGTAAGGTAAATTCGAGTTTGATAGGCCCCGATGGCACTGTGAATTATCTGCGTGGAGACATCCTTCTCCCCATTTGGACCCGTCCGACAAGCACAGAAGGGCGTCTGGTGGTCCCACGGGGAGCCCATCGGGTGCCGTACAAAGTCGCTCAAGTAGAGAATTGCTTTTTCTTCTTTAATGCACGTGTGCGGGAACAGGTGCATTTTAACCACATTCTCTTGCCAGACGAGAACCTTGACCATCACTACGATGCGGCAGCGGAAGTAAATTGCCTCCTCAAATATCTGCAATTTTTACACCCGGAACTGAGGGAGGCCTCGGCGGCTGTCTTGCGTCGCGAGGTCAAACATATCTCAACTTCTATCACCGCGCATCTGCGTGTCAATTTTCAGGACGTTGTTCGTCGTCGAGAGTATCTTGTGTTGAAGCAGGCGCGTAGTGGACAAAGCGAAGAAGAAGGCGATGAAAGTGACAATGAGGCGGTTGATGCCGACACAGCGCCCAACTGTGGGGCCCAGCTTGGCTCTTCATGGGAAACATTTGCGAAGGAAATCATTCAGGCAGCCTCAAAGGAGCGAGCACGCGTTGTGTGGAGGCGAAATGTGGAAGAGACGGAGTCGGATGTTCGTAGTGGTTTTTGGGTGACAACCATCATGCGGCAGTAATTTATTCATGGAAATTTTCCTGCTCGCTTTTTCCACATTTGTTATTATTATTTGTTGTTGTTGTTCTTTTATGTACATGTCTGAGGTGTTGACACGACCGCAAGGACGTGTTATTATTATTTCTCCGCCTGTCTCTTTTTTTTTTGTTTTGTTGTTTTTGCCGGGAAAAAAAAAAAAAAAAAAGGAAAACGACGACACGACGTTGAAGAGGAAACAAAAGGAAATAGGAAAAAAAATTCCGCTAGTCCCGGTAGTCAACGGCCAAAGGAAAAAAAAAAAAAATACGTCACCGCCCACCCCACCTCTCTAGCACACGGATAACAACAAAAAATGGCAACTGTTCTCCGTCATGGACGAAAAGGGGGAAAAGTTACTTCATCCCCCGCGATCGCCCCAAAGGTCCTAACGCCAGGAAGCGCCATGTCTCCCGCCTCACTGCAGGCATTTGGAGAGGGTACTACAATTATAAGCGACCCGAACGCCGCCCATCCATTTGACCCTGACGCAATCACCAATGTTGTCAAAAAACCCACAACAACAGAGGCTAATGTTCTCCAGTTTGATATGGAGGCCATCCAACACATTGGTAAGGGAATCATGGTGGGAAGGACGAAGCAAGTGCGAACCACAACTCGTCAACCACAGGTTAGCAATGCAGAAGCGTTATTGAAGTTAGAAAATGCGTTTACGGCGCAAAAAGACATGCTGGTATCACCCAAAAATCCTGTGGGTCTTGAGAAGATTACAGACAACAATGTTGTGGTTGTCCACAGGCCTCAAGAGGCTTTAACCCTTGCAGTGGCCCTTTCGGCTTTCGTACCGCAAGCAAAGGTGCTGGTGGTGGTACCCAAATATTTTGAGGTGAGTTCTGTTAAAACGTATTTGAGTTCTTTGGTCGTCGATGGTGAAAAGGCTGCGACGGGTGAATTTTGCGGTCAAACGTTTGAGGGTACTGAGTCAACTCCATTATGGGTAACGAGCGCGGAAATGGCATTACTTTACCTGACGAAGCTTCAGAGCATGGCCCCCTTTTCACACGTGGTGGTACCCGGGTTTTTTAATACGACTCAGTTACTTTCATTTTTTGTGAAGGCATTTGGTCAATGGCTGCGAAGTAGAACCGATTCCTCTTGCTCTGTACGGCTTGTTTTGACGCCGGAGAGGACAGATCGAAGTGAAATTGAAAGCATGTTTCAAGATCTTAAAGTCGCTTTTATTGAAACGGCGGTGGAACATGTAACGGAGTTTTCTTATGGTGAAACGTGTGCTTTAGTTGAGAAGGAAATGATGGAAATGGAGAAAGATGGGTCTGGAATTTTTCCACCTCCCACAAGGAGGCTCATCGACTACACAGCAAAGATTTCAGCGGAAGTGGTGTCGTGTATCGTGAGGGGAAATGAAAAACCACAGGCCATCGTCGTCTTCACGGCGGAGGCGCGCGAGGTTTTGGTTGCTCTTCCAGAGGCCCATATAGAGATTTGTGCATTTACTCGGGACTTCAAGGCACCGAAGAGACAGAAAAGACGAAGCATCGTGTATATGTGATGAATCATGTGCGTCACGCTCTGGATATGGATAATGAATACACCATGGTGCTCGATATTGGTACCATTCGTCGTCCAGCAGCACAACACCGATCCGAAAGTTTTATGGCTGCTAGCACAACCGAATGGGAGACAAAAGTTGAACGTGCAGAACGTTTGTCGCTTCTCGAAGGGAAAAAAGGATGCTGTTACTTTTCTTTGTACCCGGAAGATGTTTCTGCAGCTTTTCATGAGGATGCCAAGTCTTTTCCTGATGTATTCAGCGTGGAGGATGCATTCGTTCATTGTGCTCGTCTGAATCTCCCCATGGGTGAAGTGGCGGCTCTTCTTCCAGCTATTCCTACTGAGACTGCCGAACAAGTGATGCACAATCTTGCTGAAAAATGCGTGATAGCCAGTCCACAGAGTCTTGCAATGACTTTTTTGGGGGAAATGTCTGCCCGTCTTCCCGTGGATCTGGACATTGCGTCCTTTATTATAGGAGGCTGCAATGTCGGCCTTGGTGAAGCCGCAGTAGCGATTGGTAGTGTGGCTGCATTGCCTTTCCGTTCGATTACCCCGTTAACCTACAGCAGTGTCCCATGGAATGAAGCTACAACGTGGAGCCGCGAAAAATACGCCGGTGACATTGCGCGGCACAGTGATCTCCTTGCCGACACCCTTGTCTTTATTGAGTGGCTAAAACTACGTGCCCGAGGAGAGTCCACGGCAGAGTTTCTTAACACCATCCTTGTACAGGAGTTTAAATTTGTCAAAATAGAAGGATTAATGAAATATATAAGGGAGCAACTGACAAATTACGTATTTTTGGATCGCTTTGATACTTTAGAGCTCTTGGAAGACGTGTCAACTTCTGTGCAGGAGAATTCGACCATATTTTTATTTCTGCAGGCCGTTGCCTTGGCGCGACGTGCAGCCTTCATTCGCGACGCTGGGCATCTCAACGAAAAGGATCGGTATGCCTCCATGGCTTTTGTTCGCACATCCAAACGCCTGATGCCACACAATTATATTCCGTCATCGATCAAGTGGGACACCGGTAGGATTCTGATCCCGGTGATTCTTAAAAATAGCACCAATATTCTTGCCGGACTCTTTTCGCTCATTCACACACCGTATTTTTTTGCCTCGCTCCTGCTGCTTTATCCATATGTGGAATACTCTAAGCCCGTGATAACTGATAAAGGACGCGTTGTATATTTTGGTGTCTCATGTAACCGTCAGATGAAACGTTTCATGGTTTCTATTGAAGAGGCTGCACAAATTCTTGATTTTCGGGAGAAAATAAATCTGGCGCTGAGTTGTATGCAAGCACTTCGGACTCTTTCCCATCCCATCTTGAAAACAAAGTTTCTTCTTATCCTGAAGAAGCACGATCGTCTCTTTGATGTTGAGCGGCTCCATAAAAATATTCGCAGTCAGCTTCTTGAACTTGTGACCGAGTTAAACGTGACGGAACATCAAGGAAGCTTTGAGACCTTTGCTACGCACTGCACAGCCCCAAAGGAATTGCTGCCCATGACTGACACACCTGCAATGGATGTATCGGTGCTTCGTCGGTTTGTGGACGGCACACTGTGGGATAGTTTGCCTACTCCAGGCTCTGTCGTGAAGCCCCGTGCCGCTTCCTTTGCCGGTACCCCGTCGACGTTGCCTTCTGCCCCGTTGATCTCCACAAATGACGAAGATGACGATGAAGAAGTGGAAATTATTCAGGATTCGTACTTTATGCGCCACGGTCCACTCATTGAGGACGATGATGATGATTAAAATCGTAGACAACTCTTTATTTATTTGTTTGTTTGTTTTGTTGCTACCATTGACTCGGTTTGCATCGATTGAATGGGGGTGGGCAGTGTATGCAAAGTAAGGAAGCATAAATATATCTATATATATCTATATATATATGGGAAAAGGCGAATGAGGAGGTGGGCGACAAGCACATAAACATAAACACACACGCAAAAAAAAAAAAAAAAAAAATGAGGGGAAGAATGAAAAAAGACGTTGACGATGGGAGTGGGAAGGAAGACATGATTTTCTTCTATTATCCGCAACTTCACACCGTGAACACTCCATCGGTCTATCTTTTGTACACCATTTGTTTTTGATTTTCTTTTTTTTTCTTTTTTTTTTTTTTTTTTTCTGATAGTTTCCGTTGTGTCTACTCTTTGTCATTGGTCTGAAGGGTGTAGAAGACAGGAATAGTGGAGAATATTGGGGGAATGAGGGCCTTCTCCGGAAGCGGAAATGGAAGGGAAAACGAAAACAATCAGCTATGGAAGGAGCGAAACAAACAAACAAATTTTTTTTTTTTTTTTTTTTTTTTGCATGACCATTGGGGAATGTGGACTTGATTTTGTTTATGACTATTCCTGGCAACTCACGGTTGCTGCTTTTTTTTTTGTTTTGTTTTGTTTTGTTTTTGTTTTTGTTTTTGTTTTTTTTTTTTTTCTTCTGGGAGGGTGTGGGGGGTTTATGTGTTTGTTTGATTTTTTCTTTGGCTTGTTTCTCTGTCTGTATGAATGCCGCTTTTTCCGCTGATGTCGCTTTTTGTTGTTTGTGGTGGTGGTGGTGGTGGCGGTGCTGTTTGTTGTTCTTCTAACGGACGCGCTCTAGGGGTTTGCTGCTGCACACATCGAATAATTTATTTTTTTTTTTTTTTTTTTTTTTTTTTCATTTCCCTATTTTCTTACTTTCTTGTAATTTATGTTACTTTTGACAAAATGCTGGCGACGCGAGTGAGCGTGGGCGGAGTGTGGTGTGGTGATCGTTGCCTTCCACCTCGACACCTTGCAGCCGTGGTCCGCTGCATGGAGGTACTGGACGACGATGACGCCGTTGATGCTCTCATTCGCGAGGAAGAAAGTCGGGTCCGGCAGTTCAAACTTTTTCACTGCACGGAGGAGGAGCGGCGGCGTCAATACGGAGCGGTTTCTCGGCCCATGCGACCGGAGCCGCCACCATCGCCGCCGAAAGTGAGACTCACAGGAATTCCTTTGGAAATGCTGCCAGTGGAAGCAGAAGAAGTGCTGGTTCATGAATACGAACAGTACCGCTCTGCCAAGCACGACGCAGACATCGACCTACGGCGCCGCGGCCTTCCTCCACCGTATTACGACGGGCCCCTTTTAACACTCAGAACTCGTGGTCCGTACACACGCTTTGAGGTGCTTGCGTGCCGCCCGCCGATGCGACCTCGTTTTGAAGGGAAAAAGACGTCTCAAAAGGATTGTAGTCAGCATTACCCACGGCCGCTACGAGAAAAGCCCAAGGAGGACACCGTAGCAATGCCGGGGGATTCACTGCGGCGGTGGAAGTATAGTATGGGTCTTTTGGACGAGTGATTGTACTTCAGGCAGTGCAAACAGAGTCGGTGGCAAGGATACAATTTGTATTCATGGAAAAAAGCATCCAGTTTGGGTGTGCGATCCCTCTCGATGTAAAAATTGTTGTTATTCCTGGGAACTGTTTTTTTTTTTTTTTTTTTTTTTTGCGTACATGAGCTTTGATTATTATTATTATTATTTATGTATTTATTTATTTATTTAATTTATTTATTTTTGCCTGTATGTGCGTGTTTCTTGTTTTCAAATTTTGTTAGTAGCGCCGAGGGAAAAGACGCACGCCACCAATGAGCGAGTACAGCACGGCGATGCGGATGCAGCAACACCGTGTAAGGACGACCGAATATATTCCTCTCCCCGAGTGTGTCTTGACGGAGTTAACGAGAGGTATTCCCATCATTTGCAAGGCAAGTACATCTCTTCAGCCTTTTGCCCCCAAAGCAGCGAGCATTGTGTGTCGGGAAGTGGAGAATATGACGAGTGTCACCTCGTCCGAGCACCGGGTGCGATGCATCTCGCAAATAACTGGTGTCTTGCGTGAAAACACTTTTATGGCCCAGAGGAGTGTCACAGAGTGCAGAGTATTTTTGAAGAAACTTGCGGCACACTTTGTGTTTCCTCTCATGCTTCACTGCGCCGTGCGATACCTTCACCGTGCGCTTGCGACACTTCTTCGAACTGTGTACGTGATAGACGAGGATCTTGAGACCTGTTTCTGTGCGGCATTCACTGCCGCTCACATTCGTTGTTGGGGGTCTGGAACTTCTGAGCGACGGCCCACCATTTTTGGTGACAACGCTGCAGCCAGATTGGGGAGTGAGGCCACTCTATTGGGATTTAAGGATTCCGTTATGAGTTGGATAAACTGCATTGATAGCACGACTGTGGTAGCCATGCCTCTTTTTCCACGCGTATTTGCTAGCACGTTTTTTGATGTTCTTCCACTTCTTGGGGAGAGTCTGCAGTGGATGGTCCTGAATGCCTCTGTGAAATGTCGTGAAGTTGGGATTGAGAATGCCACCAATGGGACAATTTTGGGTGAAGATTTGGCGTATGTGCGGTATGGTATTCGCGTTATCACAACGTATACGCATAAGTTCCTGCATCTGATGCAGGATGTATGGAATAACGGGGACAGAACCACACATTGCCATTTAAAAGAAGACGTGGGGAAACTTTTTTCTTCCGCGGTCTTGATGCTTTCTTCGCCTGTTTTTCCAAAGGATGTTCTGAACGGGGCGGGATTGCTCGTGTCGTCCCTGTTGACCTTACGGACATGTGCCCCATGGTTGCTTCTCGAGGTCTGCCGACAATGTGGGACCTTTGATCCGCCCACGGATGCTGCTGCTGCGAAACCAGGAGTGACGCGAGTCGCGTATACCTCGGAATCCTTACTGCAAAGTGATGTGAGGGAGTGCGTCGAGCTGATCTGCTCCGATGATCCCCATCGAAGGGCTAGCGAGCGTCCTCAGGCACTGTGTGCACTGCGGAATATTCTTGGTGCTCTCACCAACAATGGCCGTTTTGCATTGTTGAAGGGTCTTCTGGCACACTTATCCACACCCATTCACGGTAACGTTGACTCCCTTGGCATCCTACTGAAGCCAATCACTCCTCTTGCGGGCGCTGGACCTTCAGTGGAGGCTTTGGAGGTGGTGCATGATATCATCATGCCGGCGGCGGAGGCGTATTGCTCGGCTCTTCAGGCACCTGACACGCGATTCATGGCCATTCAAACCATTGACAGCGTGGTTCGGCATATTTCTTCCTTTCTTAATTGTATTGCCGAGGTTTTGGAGCACCCACCGAGTGAGAATGAAACAAGGAGAGGTAAAGTGAGAGAAAGAAATGTGCAGTGGCCACACGGAGGGAAATTATTGACCGAACCCCAAAAGCGGGAACTCATGGCTTTGTGTGCACGCAACACGAAGCTTACCCGCACACTGAATCACGCGACGGAGATCATTATGGGGATGTGGGACGACAACACTCTGCAGGTAACCGGTCCACTCTACGATGCGTATAACGAGATCCTTTCTGTTCACGCCGCGCTTCGGCGCTGTGCAGCGTTGTTTCCCTCAACTTTTGAAACACACGTTCTGGACGAAGAGATTTTTGACACCGCCGAGGCATTACGACGTATTCTGTGTATACCCAATGAACGGCGTGGTAAATATCACGCATTGTTGGGAATACTTAGCGTTCTTCCCGTGCCACAGTTTCTGTCCGTACTGAAGGAGAATTTTTCACAGGAAACGGCTTCCATATCTGAAGTCCAAGGACTTTGTTGTTTCAGCCGAATGCTCCTTTCTGGTGCGTGCAACCACAAGGTTGGAAATATTGCCGGCGATGTTTTTGCAAAGGCAGCTAGTCTTATCCGAAACTCGGATAACGCCGACGCGCATAGAGAAGTTCTTTTCATGCAAGGTATCATTGACCCACTGGTAAAGTCCCTTCTTGTTTCCGGTTACGCAGCACCTCCACATCTGAGTGAGGCTGCTTGTGTCTCAAACATAGTGACGCACATGATCATGCCGTGTCTCAAATCAGAGGAAGTGTTCATCTCCATCTTGCTTTCGCAGCTGACACAAGCACTGGAAGGTAAACATAATTCCTCTCGGGTCAATCAAAGCGTTGTGGAAATCATTCATCGGGCGCGTGTCGTCGGCAAAGATATTGGTGCCTACCTTCAACCAAAGAGTCAAACATTTCAGGCCATTTTGGCGAGTCTGCAGGTGCACGAAACTGAACTTCGTTACACCGCGTTGAGTCTCTGTGTGTTGAGCACGAAAAAGGCAGAGACTGTGAAGGCTTGGCAATGCCGTATGATGGAGTGGTACATCAGCAGCAATATGTATTGCGGTGGAGACTCCGTAGCGATGCGCAATCTCTTGGAAGTGTATAAAAAATGGATGCGTCGGCTTGTGGATAGCTACGGGAATCAAAACAACAGGCAAAAGAAGGGAATGGCTGGAAGTGAGGCAGCCGAGCAGTACAAGGAATTGGTGGTTGATCACTGTGTACGAATGGTTGGATGTCTGGTTCCACAGATTGGTGAGAACGCAAACTGGTGTCGTAATCTTTCTCTCGAGCGTCGTGTAGCGGCCATGTCTATATATTCGTGTCTTCTTCGAAATGCCCTGGAATTTCTTTCTGAAGAAGATGTGAGGAAGCTCAAAGAACAGCTGTTTCCCGTGGCACTCATTGAAGGTCTGCTGGAGTGCCTCTCGGAGGGTTGGGAAAAAGCACGCCTGTCCGCCTACAGCATTCTTATTATCTACTGCAATCACGTCCCTGACGCAATCTTCTCGCATCGTCATCTGGGAAACCCCACGGCTGCAAGTACCGCCAAGGCCGAACTGCTGCGCGCCCGAACGTTTCGGAAGTCAGAGGGCGAAGTTCTTTGGTACGTTTTGGCGACGCATTTCACACCCGCGGCAAAGCAGGCGGCAGCCGAGAATCCGTCGCACGAGTGTGAGAAACGAGTGAGGGATGTGGAGTGTGAGATGAAGTTGCTGAAGGAAAAACTCTCAAAACTACGCGCCTTGGGAGCAAAAGGAGCATGTGAATTTCTTCAGCTTCATCCATTGCATGGAATAATTTCTCTTTGTGCGGCATTACTTTCAAATGCGTGGGAGATTAAACGTGACTTTCACCTTCTTTACGAAGCATGTAACAATTTATTGCTTTGCTGTAGTGCGGTGCTACAGACATGCTCTTCCATTGTGGGCGGCGAACCAGTTAACAGCGTTGACGATGGTGACGTGGAGGTGGATTGTCGTGGGCATGTCTTTGAGAAGGATGGTTCTTACACAGAAGATAAAATGCGCACAGTGGTTAACAACACATGGCTCAGTATCCGTACGGCCGCCTCCGCCGTGGAACGCGTGATGAACCTTGTGAAAGTCGAGGATCTCTCTCTCCCGGTAGTTCGTGAGATATGCTACGTCCTTATTGAGTCTCTTCTTCGCACAAAACACAACGGTGTGATGCGTAAAGTACGGGAGGCACTTAAAACAGTTGCCGCCGCACTTCTGCGTTCACGTGATGTTGCATTTCACTCACTCCCCTGGGAAATGCTTGACTTTTTGCTGGGTCCAGATGGCGTCACGTCAAGAAGTGTTGCGCGGATGCTACGGCGGAGTCAAGGCTTACCGCACGCTATATTAGCAGTTCTAGAGGCTGAAGACCCGACGGTTCCTGTCTTTCTTTTTCCAAGGGCCATGAAACTTCTCCTGCGCGTAGCGAGGGGAGCACACGTTGGTGGGGATGATTGCCAGCATCATTTAACGGAAGAAAAGTGCCGTAGTCAGCGTTCAAATGCGTTAAATGTTTTGAAATTTATATTTGAAAATAAAATTTTTGCCTCGCGTTCGGTGGCGGACTTGGAAGAAGCGTTTTGGATAGCCGCTGAAGGGTTTAATGACCCCAGCTGGGGAATACGGAACAGCTCCTTGATGCTCTTTTCGGCTGTGCTACCCCGTTTTGTCGGGGAACATCCCTCAACTGGTAGCGTGGGTGTTAACACGTCACTGCACGACATTGCCGTTCGGGCGCCTCGTGGTGTCGCTTTTGCATACGAGGAGTTGGTGAAGAGTTCGACGACACCTCTGCCCAGCCTCGGGGTGTTTCCGCTGCTGCAGATGCTCTCCATGGTTACCCCTGACCCACCACATCTCTTCACGAATGCGACAACATCTCAGCAAACTGCAGACGCGGATGTGGATTCCTCTCGAATTGTGCGGGCTATTATGCGTTGTGGTTCATCTAAAAACCTTATGGTTCGTGCCGCGAGTGCTGTTGCGCTAACTTCACTCGTTCCTACTTCCCACCTGGAGACGCTTCTTGCGGAAATTATATCCAATTTATTTCAATCAAAAAATGGCCTTAACACGGTACACGGCGCACTACTTCACCTGCAGCAATTTCATACTTTTTATGTGGGAACGCTGCGCCGTAATATGAGAAAAAAGGCCATGAATAGTAGCGCGACGGCTACTGTGGCTTTTCTTGTTAATCGATTGATCGTGGAGGGTCTTGGTGCGCCCAGCCTTGCTGTTTCCAGTTCAAAACTGTACCAAGCTTGTGTACATTGTCCCACAATCGCTGTAACCTTCTTGAGTTTGGCCTCTGATGCTCTATACTACATTCAGAGCTTTGGGTTGTGTGCGGATAATACCGCTCCAATTGTTAATTTGATGCGTTTTGGAGTAGCAGTGGTTTACGGGGCAGTCTGTGCGCCCACGCGGTCTTTTGAGTTGGCGCGACACGATCATGCTGCGGTTTGTGAAAACGGCGCACTTTTCGCTCTTCTTGTGGTTCGGCTTCTCTCGCTGTCAAAGGAGGAGGCGGAGGGTACTGAAGAGGAAAATGACAAATTGGCCTCCTTAAATGGGAATGCTCAGGTATGGGATACACTTTCTCAGGTATTTACGAGCGAGAGTGGGGAATACCTCATATCGTGCCTTATGTATCACGTAAGCCACCACACGGCGGAGAAACGGTGGCCACGTGAAGAGTCTGAACGAACTATGCGGCAGTTTACATTGCGTCTTCACTGTGATCCTGTACATGCGGCGTTGCGGATGCTATTGCGGGACCTGTCGGAGGATTCTTTGTTACAGAGATTGCCTTGCACGAGGATTTTGCATATGAGTGTCCATCTGGAGTACCTCGTCTTGCTGGGCAGTGATGGTGGACCACGGTCTGAAACTTGTGAAGCGTTGTGCAAGGCGCTGGAGGAGAACCTTCTTTGCAGAATGGACCCCCAATCAAAGCGACCTTTGCAAAACACGGAGGTTCAAAGTTGGGCCATTTGCTTTCTCGGTCGTTGCTGTGTACGTCACGGTGCTTCCAGTGTGACATTGTTGAGGATACTTGAACACTACTCTCGTCCCTTTTTTGATGTGCGGAACCGTGCTGCAGTCGTTTCTGCATTAAAGGATGGGCTGTTATGCTTAGAAGACGACGAAGCTGAGACTGCTGTGAAGCATCGGTGTGCATTCTTACTGATTCTCCTTCGGCTTCTTTTTGACGACGCGTATGATGTTCGTCTGGAGTCCTGTCGTGTGGTTTCCCAACTCACATCACCAGCAAATTTCCTGCTGGATCACATGACCTGTGTATTGTCTCTGGTGTTTCGTATCCGGCAATCCGGTGAATGCCGGGTTTTTGATGCCGAGTTCTTGCAGCAGTACCTGTTGGGTGCTGACGTCTCACGAAATAGTCCTTTGGGTCACAACGACGAAAATAATAATGGTGTTGAAGCGAACGAATCTGATTCGGAGGAGAGCGATGTCCTTTTTGAAAAGGAAGCAGAAAACATGTTTGCGGAGAACACCCTCTTGGCGTACCTTGTGGGAGCCGTCATGCACGAGGCGGGGGGCAGCAGCCCCACCTTTGGGGTGTACGACGAGCTGCTCCGTGTGGCAGAGTGGCGAGGCAGCGTGGCAGCTGTGTACGCCACACTGTTTGCCGACGACCAGTAGGGGTGTTGGGGCAGTGGGCTGCGAACGATAATGAATTAACGACCGATAACCAAACAACAAACGTGGAGGTGGAAGCTCTTTTTTAATTCCCAAACAAAGGGAGAAGAATCGACAAACACAGAGGAGGCATCGATAATTTTGAACAATAATGATAATCATCATTGTCATCATCACCCATGTTTCTATTATTTTTTGTTGTTGTTTTGTGTGTGTGTCATCTTGCTTCTTTTTTTTTGGATTCTGGTTTTATTCTCTTGGGCGATTTTTTTGCAAAAGGTGGCTGTGAGGTGGAGGGAGCCAATGGCAATTCGATGGTTTGCTACCCGGTGTGTCTCGCGCCTCACCGCACGCAACAGCCCGATCCAGGGGGAGATGCAGCAAAAGCGCTGCGTCATGATGTTTAGTGCCCCGCGCTGGGGATCGTTTAAGTATCGCCACACACGAACCATCCCCGACGACGCCGTTAACCCTTTGACGACTCCAACGAAAATTGATGCGGGTACTTTACACATTGTCTCTGTTCCTATTGGCAATTTGAAAGACTTTTCTATTCGTGCACTTGACGTTCTTAAACAGGTTGACTACATTGTTACGACGGATAGGCCAGCAACCAAGACACTATTGGAATTGGTCCATATTGAGGCTCAAGGTCGTCTTATTCATTACTCCCGCAGCAATCGTACGGCATCCAAAGACAAACTTGTGGAACTACTAAGAGGAGGGAGAAGCATGGCGCTGGTTTGTACAAGTGGGACACCATGTGTCGGTGACGTGGGCAGTGAGTTAGTTCGGGAGATGCAGTCAGAAGGAGTGCGTGTATCGGCAGTGCCTGGTCCATGTGCATTGACATGCGCACTGGCAGTTTCTGGCGTCACTTTCTCCCCGTACGAGAGCGACAAGTCGTCTTCCACGGCGATGCAAGCCGAAAGTCCTTCATTATCTTCTTTGCGTTCTCTTCGTGACGGATCGTTCTTCTTTGGAAACATGCTGCCGGAGTCGCATGGGGCACGCCTTCGCATTCTTCGAAATACCGTCCGGCAGGCGAATCACCCCTGTTTATTTTACGAGATTCCTCGGCGATTATTGCTTGTTCTGCAAGACATAGCTTTGGTTTTGCCAAGGCGTCGCGTTGTTGTTGCCCACGAATTAACCAAAATGAACGAGTCACTGCATGCGGATACTGCAGTCAAACTACTTGCCTTCTACTCACGCCAGGAAGCAAACATGATGCTCAAGAAAGGGCAGCTGGTGCTCATCATTGACGGCCCTGATGCCGATGAGACGCAGGAGTACTTGCAGAGAGAAGCGGAAAAAAGACGGCGATTACGGCGAGAAGTCACGGAGTTGGTCGGTGAGCGTTGCGATGCGAAGGATTCGTGCGACCGAATTGCTCAACCAAAGGTCCGAAGCAGACGTGAGCTAATTCGAAGGAAACGTCGCAAGCGGCTTATTGCGAAGATTGAGAAGGAGCAAGAAAGGATTCGAATGATCATGAAAATCAACCAGACGGATGCGTCCCGGGTGTAATTCCGCGTATATTTGTTTTCCCTGATGCCCCTGTTATTGTTTTTTTCTTGTCTTGTCTTTGGGTTCTCACAAATGCGGGTCGATATAGTGACTTGTTGTGCCTCAATTTGAATTTGGTCATGTGTGATGCTGTGTTTCTCCGTTGCGAGTAAAGAGTACATGCATTTAAATTCTTGCCCTTTCCGAGGGTGAGGAGGGAATAGGGAAAATAATTATAATAATAATAATAATAATGGCAATAATAATGGGTTTAAAACTTTTTTTTTCTTCTTTTTTTCTGATCTGTGTAAAGGTTTCTGTTTATTGTTATTTCACTGTTATAGGTTGGTTGTGTTTGTGTCTGTGTTTGTGGTTGTTTCTGTGGGGATACAATATAAAGACGACGTTTCAATGGACGTTGGCATTGTTGGACTTGGTGTCATGGGTGCCAACCTGGCACTAAACATTGCAGAGAAAGGGTTTCACGTTGCGGTATTCAATCGCACATACTCCAAGGCGGAGAGTTTTATTAAAGAGCATGCCTCGGCTCCTTTTGCGGCAAATCTTAAGGCATATGAGACGATGAATTCTTTTATTATGGCCATTAAAAAGCCGCGCAAGATATTTATTCTTGTTCAGGCTGGCGCTGCTACTGACGCGACGATTGAGCAATTAAAGGGCGTTCTGGAGAAGGATGACATTATTGTGGACACGGGTAACGCTCACTTCAAGGATCAGACCCGCCGAGCCGAACAACTGGAGGCAGCAGGTCTGCGTTTTCTTGGAATGGGCATTTCCGGTGGGGAAGAGGGCGCCCGAAAAGGCCCTGCCTTTTTTCCCGGTGG